GAAAATTGTAGAAAATCGTAGAAAATTGTAGAAAATCGTAGAAAATTGTAGAAAATTGTAGAAAATCGTAGAAAATTGTAGAAAATCGTAGAAAACCAGTAAATTACGATTCTAATATGAAGGATGTCGCAGATGTTCAAAATACGGCATCCGCTCAGTTATAAACGTCTCCTAGCGTATACGTAAACAGGTCAATATTTTTAAAGACTAATTAATTTGACGCATGCGTTCATGATTCTTTCGACCTAACCCTGTTTAGTATCAAATTTCTAATTGGATAATTTATTTTTTATTTAAAAACAGAAGGGCGTAATATACTTTGCGCTTGCGTAGAAAACTAGAGACGTATTATACGTTATAACATACATGTAAAAAACTATGTATATTGCATGACGTATTATACCTAATCCAACCCTGGACGCGCCCAAAGGAAATATAATGTTGTCATAGCAACGGCGTCATCCAAAATTACAGGAGGCAGAATGCTTTTAACGATTCCTTGCACTTTGAGTTGCCATGAAATGACGGATTTTCTTATGAATTCATCATGGGGAATACGGATATGGACATTATTACTACAACATTATTGCATGACGTATCCCTACCTAAATTTGAACACGCCCAAAGGAAATATAACAAAGTATGTTGTCATAGCAACGGCGTCACCCATGACATGAAATGACAGATTTTCTTATGAATTCATCATGGGGAATACGGATACGGACATTATTACTATAACATTATTCCACGACGTATTATACCTACCTAAATCTGAACGCTCCCAAAGGAAATATAACAAAGTATATTGTCATAGCAACGGCGTCACCCAAAATCACAGGAGGCGGAATACTCTTGACGTCTCCTTACACTTTGAGTTGACATGAAATGACAGATTTTCTTATGAATTCATCATGGGGAATACGGATACGGACATTATTACTACAGCAGACCCTCCGGAGAGCAAGTCTCTGTTAGAGAAATACAAGATACCGGTTGAAAACCTTTCCTATGAATATATTTCCGAATGCAAGAAACCCAAAGAATTGGAGCGCATTGTTCTTATACTTCGGTGAGTACGCGCAAAACAATAATTTGGTTCATTGACTAAAATCATTTGATTGTTTCCAATTGGTTAATTTCGGAAAACGTTCGGGTAAAATGAATAGAATTTTAATTCACTAGACCTAACACGTTTGATTCGATTAACCAAAGTGTTTAGTTAAATTGTTTCGTTAATTTTAGAAATTATCTTAGTAATTAAATCAAATATTTTGAGTGAATATATCAGAGTACTTTAATATGTGGCATAATCTACCGCAAAAATTAATGTAATTAACAAAAAGTTATCTATCAAAAGAATTTTTTCATGTCAATTAAATACTTTGTTGTCCATATAATAACCATATTGGTCGTACCAGCAGAGTTTTACAGATTCAATCAAATATTTCCCTGCGTGTAACAATTCCTTTGGAGCGAATAAAAAGGTTTTACCTGAAACTCACATTCGTCAAGACAATTCGCAATCACGTTACGACGATATCATTACTTTATTATGTCGTTAATTAATTTTTTCTGCCCAAGTTCTGGTCAGGAAGGATATTATCCTGATTTAACGAGACATGCCGAGGAACGCCTAGCCATTCTTAAACCTGATAGTACAATTTTGCGAGTGGCTTGTCCAGCTCTTACTCGAATAACGTTAGATTCAGAAGTGCGTCAAAAACTGGAAAAAGACATTGACAACTGGACCAGCGAGATGAGAAATCGCGAAAAGGATCTCGAGGAAGGGAAGTCACTGCAAGCTCAGGAACTTCCTTATCCTGAGATTAGACACGTCAAGGAAGCAACTAAAGTAAGATGGAGTTTTCTGACATTCTAGTGCATTTGCATCTTTTTATATTATTTTATGATTGCTATACCATCCGCTGCAAGATGAAAAATGTACTGCAGAGGTTTTAAAAGAAGTATAAATGCGATCCATCCATCCACTCATTAACGTAATGTTTCATTAAAATATCCCATTTAATTAAATGCAATGTTCATTTTAATAAATGTACCTGAGCTCTAATGCAAGGTAAATTATGATCTAACAAAACTGTGATAAATGCAATGGGTGTATACTGGGAATTACTGTAGTTCTGCTTATTGTGAGAAGTTCATTTTTCAATGTGATTTATCAAGGCATTCTCCTTCTGGCACATTTTAAACGATCTTTGAAAATATCCATAATTGAAAAATGTAAAAATGTAACTCTACATACTCATAGTAAGGATATGAACCTTGAAACAACGTAGTAGAAAGCAATTCGTTTTTTCTTCTCTCAATAATGTATGTATTTCTTTTTTTCTCGAATTTTTCTTTTTCGAATACAATAAAATCAATTTCTGTTCAGTCGTCACAAACAAGAATAAAACAAGATAAACGCATAGCTTCGTGCGATTACGCTGCTTGGGATATGTACGATGCCGACACGGAAATTAACCGGATAGATTTAAAGGAAGAGCAAAAACGAGCAGAATTGAAAAGGATCCAACAAAAGCAAAGAGACGAGGAAGAGAAACATAAAAAGTTGAGCAAAGAGGCTGTGATAAATAAAGGTAAGGGCCGTTAACAACTAGCTTGTATAATATTTTACGATATACATTACACGTGTTGGACTTCAGTGGCTTTGACAGGAACGGAGTTAACTGTCATGGCGGAACAGGAAAGGGAAAAAGGAAATGAGGCTTTCAGATCTGGTGATTACAAGGAAGCACTTCAGCTTTACAATTCATGCATCGTTATGGATCCAAGTCCGAATGCATATAATAACCGCGCGATTACATGTAAGATAATGATATGCAAACATCTTCACCAAACAATGCCGCACGTACTGCTAACATATATCATGGAATTCCCGTATAATTTAACGTATATTATACATTGTTTAAAGGGATGTTAAAGTGGCATCTGCGGGGTCGATCGTTCATGAAACTTTTCGCTGAACTTAGTGCACCGAATTATTTCAAATTTTATAACGTGAGTACGGAGGGTATAACGAAGGTACTGACACTCATGAAATTTTAATTTTTATACAACATTTTAAAATTATTTATAAACCATTTTTAAAAAACATTGAAATTTCAAGAGTGTCAAGACCTTTCTTATTGTCTCCATATTCATATTGTAAAGTTTAAAAGAATTCGGTAAACCCAGCTTGGAGAAAAGTTCCATAAACAAAACCTCTTCGGCGTCATTTTCACACACCTTAAGGAATTTATTCATGACACGTTTTAACATAATATTTTTAAACATATTTCTTAATACGTAAAAGAACATTGGTATTAACTTTTTCATTCGCACAAGTATCGTCTTACACTGATTTCTACCCACGAAGAATTTTTGTATAACAAACGTATTTTATAAATTTAGATATTAAATTAAAGAGTTACGAAAAGGCAGTAGAAGACTGTAATCGAGTTTTGAGCATAGAGTACACAAATATTAAGGCCCTTCTTCGTCGAGGACTTTGTATGGAATATCTTCGGAAAGAAAAACAGGTAATAATTACTTAATGAGTACCATATTGCTTTTTTATATCCATACATTATCCTTAGAATTAACGAGTTGATTTTTTAACCAGGCATTGGCGGATTATGAAGCAGTTTTAAAATTGGAGTCATGCAATCAAACGGCAATAAAAGCAATAAGCAAACTAAGAGAACCCTGCGAATCGAAGAAAATAAGGTGACTGAAATAATCTCTGTAATCTGCGAATAATTTAAGTAATTAAATTATTATTTCAGGATGAAAATCAATGAACTCGTTGAGGAGAAGGATCCTACAGAAGATAAAAACAAGGATGAAGGGTGTCAACATAGTAACGCTAAAAACAGCGGGGAAATTCCTTATCCATCGACTAAATTAATAAACAATATGAAAACTACACCTGACAACAAATCCGCAGATAAAACGAATGAAGTTTCAGTGCACTCTTATAATTTAACAAGTGCTGGCTTCTATGCAAATGACGAAAAAGTATCTAAGTTATGTTTCTGCGACAGAGCACCTGGATCTTCCCAAAATACAAAACCTCTACCTCATTTTAAAAATAACTATTGTGTCACGTCAATGTCGGATACTATCCTGAATAAAGGAATTATACCGAGTGCAACAAGAGAGGCACTATCTACTCATTGTATCGGGGTCTCATCGGTCACTAAACAATCAGGAGTAACAATTGAAGAAATACCTAGTGAACCTTGCATCGGAACTTTGAAGACTCGAAGCAAAAAGATCGAAAATCCAGAAACGGATGAAAGAAAAAATGTAAAGGGTCAGTTCGTTCGGAATGAAGCAATCAAAATAAAAAAGGGGGAAGGTGACGAAAAAGGAGCTCAAGACATCCACGATAAAAAAGACAAAGTTCTGTCAGAACGTCGAGTAAACAAAGATGAAACAAATTTTTTCATGAAACCCAATTCAAATGACACGTTTATACCGAGGAAAATTGAGGTAGCTAGTAAATACGAGAAACCTGTGAGTAAAGCTGAGAAAGGAGTAATCACGGTACATAATTTTTTTATGCATTATACGTATCGAGTTGGGTAAAATGTCCTGTGACAATTTACAAATTTATACATAAAATTTAACGAAATCTTGTAGAAACGCTTGATAAATGAGCGTAGATCGTAGATAGAAACGGAGAATATATCATCGACCGAAGTCGTAATTCAATGAGTAACAATAAATTTAAAAATTGTGATGTTGGTGTCGCAAGATTTTTTAGCCAGCACGATCTCCTACTGAAATAATTATCCTCTTTGAAGTGAAACTTTTTATATCTGACGTGTAAATTCACATGTTGAGAAAAGGAAGCGTATAAAAAATTGAAACATTCATTTATTTATTTATTCTCCTCACATTTAATTACTATTTAAATGCATCTTTACGTGTTAGTATTGAGACAATTTGCATAAAAGTCTTCGTTATTGTTATTTAATTTAATTTTGTTGTCTAAGAATTTAATTACTATTTAAATGCATCTTTATGTGTTAGTATTGAGACAATTTGCATAAAAGTTTTCGTTATTGTTATTTAATTTCATTTTGTTGTCTAAGAATTTAATCAACAGCTGTGCTTCTAACTTGGCGAACTTGACATTAAAATCACCGCCCGTTATCGTTGATATCTCATTCTTTTTTTACAGTCGATTATTATATACATTTATCATTGCGCATTACTAATGAGAAAATTTCCATAAACTTTCCATCAGTATTAGTCTGTTATCCTCTTCCATTCAATTATTAACATTTAAAACGAAGTAAACATAAGAAAAGTTTCACTTCCAACACATGAAGGGACTACACAGCAACTTTTTATTAATGTTATGATATTTTAGGGGATCGATAATGTAGAATCGCCGTATGAATTCATTCGTACATGGCAAGCTTTAAAAAATAATTCGGATTTGTCGCTACATGCTCAAGTTCTTCGCGCTACAGTCCCAGAAGATCTTAACACAGGTATTTATGAGTTGTAGAATTTCTCTTTCTAAATGTTTTACACGAATAATAATAGAATAAATTAAGTTAACCGAAATTCAACAGTTATAGGAAACAAATTAGACGGATCCATGTTCAGCGAGATCATTCGCTGCGTTGAACAGCATTTCTGTTTCCCGGAAGATGTCCAATTAGTTGTTAGGTTTTTAAAATCTCTTAGTCAATTAAGTCGTTTCTCGATTGTAAGCATGTTCATGGACTCAAATGACAAAAAAGGTAAGCCAGTCGATTATTACATTTCAACTTGCCCGCTTATAATTTAACTTATTTCCTTTTTTGGTTCCAGTTCTTCAGAACACATTTGCTTTTCTTGAAAGTCAACGAGCAACAGGAATCTCTGTATTACGACAAGTTTATAATGTTTAAATACCAAGGGTGTATCGAGTATAAATATATAAAGGATTATTAATTTCCAAAATGGTTTTTAGATCAGGATTGAATTACTCCGTTCTATTTTTCCATTTCCCAAATGACATATCTTTATCCCTATAATATTAAATACTATTTTATATGAACGCAGCACAACTGCTATCTTATTATTCATGTTCCTTCGTTTTGTACGTCATTGTTCAGTAGCAAATTAATTGATGAAAGAAAGATGACATTTTTAATATGATTACTCAAACAATTAAACACATTACTGACCGATAATTATTACCAGAAACTAACGTATGCCGCCAGATATTTTTACCGTAATTGGCTATTAAAATGCATAAATTTAAATGAACCAGCTTTTCAATTCTCATTAAAAGGTGGTACGAGCTAACTTGTTACTGGACGACAACATTTATGCAAAAACTCATTGACGGGACCTTTCGTCTTTTTCGAGCCGTGCTCCCCCAGGTGATCCCTTCTTCCTTCTGGTGCCGATGGAAGGAGACAATTGAACGATATTTAGTCCTTGGCACTCGCGACCCGTGATCACTATAACGCAATGACCGTTTTAATGTCGAGTGCCCCGCGCTTCGACTAGAGTTCTAAATCCAGTAAGTTACGTCAGAAACGAAGAGAAATTCCCGGTAACTTATTGATAATTTCTCCAAAGCCTTTTTTATCGAGAAATTATGAGAATTTTAATTTTTCAACAGAGCGAACGAGAGGTTTCGATTAGCTATAGAGAAACATCGTAGAGAGGAATTTCCGTTGTACGTTCTCCGTAGTCAATCAAAATCTCCCATTCGCATCGTCGCAGAATGAAATATCAATTCGTTTGAAACAAATGGCATGGAATTTTCCGTGAAGTTGTACATACGTGAATATTTTTAGCTGGAATTAAATACGACCCTATAATCAATATTTTCTAATAGTAATTATTACTCTTTAGCTTGAACTTTGAAGTTGATTGAAAAAAAAAAAGTTATTTAAACGAAGAAACCTAAAGTATAAATAACAAAATTAACGTTCTCTTAAATTCTCAATGTTCCTGGTAACTTACGGTATGTTTCACAGTTACCTTCTCCAATTTAATGTTACCGAGAATTTTCGAACTCTAGTTGCGCCGCCCTTGGGGGCGAAAAACGGTGAAAGCTAACGTACGAAACCAGAGGGCAGCACACGATGCGATCGCGCGACCCTGCCCGTGAGCAATCTCCCAACTCATATCTGCAACTACTGGAGTCGTGGTGCATAAACACTGCTTTATGTCGATTTTACCAAATTGGGTTGGTAACACAACGTAAAGTGGCGTTTACACGGCACTTAACACCAGTAGTTACAACACTGGTAGTCATAATTCAGTGTAGGGAATGACGTGTAAATGTTTTCAGTGCAACTCTATATACTAATTTAAAACTGCAGCGGAAGTGACGCGTCGAGTTCTGCGCTATCTTCAATGCGCAGAGTGTATAGAATTCGAAAATTCTCGGTAACATTAAATTGGAGAAGGTAACTGTGAAACATACCGTAAGTTATCGGGAACATTGAGAATTTAAGAGAACGTTAATTTTGTTATTTATACTTTAGGTTTCTTCGTTTAAATAGCTTTTTTTTTTCAATCAACTTCAAAGTTCAAGCTATAGAGTAATAATTACTATTAGAAAATATTGATTATAGGGTCGTATTTACCTCCAGCTAAAAATATTTACCTGTGTACAACATCACGGAAAATTCCATGCCATTTGTTCCAAACGAACTGATATTTCATTCTGCGACGAAGCGAATGGGACGTTTTGATTGGCTACGAAGATCATACAACGGAAATTCCTCTCTACGATGTTTCTCTATAGCTAATCGAAACCTCTCGTTCGATCTGTTGAAAAATTAAAATTCTCATAATTTCTTGATAAAAAAGGCTTCGGAGAAATTACCGATAAATTACCGGGAATTTTTATTCGTTTCTGACGTAACTTACTGGATCTAGAACTCTAAGAGTGTTGTAACTCCGACCTTCGAAGTTCTCTAGCCCATGCCGACTGAATTACGAACGATCCGCGGCCGAGTCCTCGCCTCGACCGCCAGGTGGCGGCACATATACTCGAGCCAACTCCGGAGCAGCGTGCGTCGTCCGGTTTCACGGGCTTCGACATCCGGACTCCGTGACTCGAACGTATCGCCCGTCGCGTACTCTTCCGTTCGAGTAGCTTGTGAGATTTTTTTTCAGTTGCTGCAAGATGTTTACTCGGGCAAATGGTGCACAATTAGCCGAGGCTACCGATAATCCCGCCCTTGGAAGCATCATGAAACCGGCAAGGAAGCTCCATTAACTGAAAGGTAGGTGGCCCGCGTTACGGCGGTGCAGGGTGTGTTTATAGCCTAGAAACCCTGACGTAGCAATGGCGTATCTATCGGCCCTAAAATCTGCGCCAACCAAAATCCGCTTTAACCCCTTCGCGGTCGCGAGTCTCGGCTCCGAAGCGAGCCGAGACTCGAAACGACCGGGCCGAGCCGCGCGAGCCATCTGCCGACGATTTATCCAGACGGAGAGCTCGCTTTCGTCGATTCGATCCTCGCCAAGACCCGCGGGGTCCGCCGAGACCCTGAGACCACCCAATCCTCGAGTCGCGCGCCATCCCGCCGCGGTTAGGCCGGAGTCGACCGACTAGTAACAACACCGCGGTCTCTGGAAAATCGCCGATCTCGCTCTTCGTCTCGCGCGGCTCGCAAACTTGCTTTACCTCGAAAAGATTCTCTTTTTCAGTAAATGGAAGAAACCCAGATTCCCGCGAGGCATCTCGAACCATACCCTGGGAAGGCTCTGTTACAATGTTTTCCTGCATACACTCGATGGATTACTCCCGTTCGCCTCTATATCCGCTCTTATCTTTCTTAAACCCATCCAGTAATCTCAGCTTTTTGGACCTGTATATCTGTTCTTCGGTATTTAGAAAGGTGTTAATGGATCTTGATTTGGGTATCCCCGATCGTCAAGTATACTCGAAGGTGTATTTAACAAATGGCACAAATTTTCCTGAATAATTGACATAATCCACTATTGTTTTTGTGCTTGTGGTAGCAGTGGGATGTACTGAATTTATTTGGATGCTCGACTCTTGTAATAAGGTTGATTTATGCCTTTTTGTATCAAAACCGTGGTCTCGGAATGCGACTCGCAAACTTGCTTTACCTCGCTCAAGATTCTCGTTTTCAGTAAATGGTAGAAACCCAGATTCACACGAGGCATCTCGAGCCGTACCCTGGAAGGTTCTGTTACAATGTTTTCCTGCATACACTCGATGGATTACTCCCGTTCGTCTCTATATCCGCTCTTATCTTTTTTAAACCCATCCAGTAATTTCAGCTTTTTGGACCTGTATATCAGTTCTTTGGTATTTAGAAAGGTATTAATGGATCTTGATTTGGGTATTCCCGATCGTGAAGTATGCTTGAAGGTGTATTTAACAAATGGCACGAATTTTCCTGGATAATTGACATAATCCACTATTGTTTTTGTGCTTGTAGTAGCAGTGGGATGCACTGAATTTATTTGGATGCTCGACTCTTGTAATATGGTTAATTTCTACCTTGTTGTATCGAAACTGTGGTCTCGGGATGCAAAGATATGTCAGAAACTTGTTTAGTGGAATGACGAAATGTTTCTTTCGATCGAAACGGTGTAATGGAAATATTCGTCCTGTATGAGGACTGTCCATGTTTTATTGCCCGAGCAGTTTATCGTCATGTTATAATAATATCTTGTTGTAGGACTGTCACAGTTTTTTTTACCAGTTTATATTGAAACAGTGTTTTTGAAGTATTAGGTTACGTTATTAAATGTATTTTATTAATTGGATAAATAGGTTAATGGAAGTAATTTAATTAATATTTCAATATTGGAATGTTATTTGGACAAAAGTTCTTTGTTAAAGATATTTGATAGGTTGAATGAAAATTTGGAGTAATTATGTACATTCGTTACAGCTTTGTGCTAGAAAATTCTAATTAATGGTATCAATATTTTGTAATTAATTGAATCCGTTGTATCCATTGAATCTACATTGTTTAAATTGCATACAAATTTAACGATGTTAATATTATTAGGACAGTTTTCATCAAGGATCGTTAATGCGTTTAGTAAATAAGTCATTAGCAAGGATTATTAATGAATAATGAATGTTCCCTAATTTTTTAAAGGTCCATCATAGGGGATACCATGGAGGATGAGGAACGTCTCGAAGGTGAGGAGGAAATGGAGCTCGACGAAGCATCCGATGGAGAAGACGAAGATGAAGAAACTACAGGAATCCCCGTCTCTCCAGCCAACTCGGATCAACTACTCGGAACAGCAACAACTCCTGGTACGTTCTTATGTAATCTGGAGTATTCGGTATTTTTATACAGCAGTGATTATATAATTTTGTGTAAAAATCTTCAGTGACACCGGAAGAAGGTTTCCATGATTCCCTGCGCTACCAGAAGTTTTCTCTACCTGGGGGGAAGCCGTTGAACATCCGAAGAAATCGCGGAAGGCCTCGGAAAGAGCGTCCCCCGGGAACTGTTCGTGGAGGAAGTTCTCGCAGACCCTTCGGAAGAGGGACGTCAAGGAGTAAAGGGTGTGTAATAATATTTTCTTGGAGTTGATCCTTTAATACCACTTCGAACGCATGGAACATTTTCAAAGTACTTTTAGCCTTGGGTACACGAGAGGTGTTCCGCGGCGCACCAAAAGTAAGGACGACGATACGCACTCAGAGTCTCCGAGTCCCTTAAGAATTAGTGAAGATGTAACACCTGACGGAGAGTCGTCTGGGGCAGATCGATCTATGCCGGCTCCGGAAGAACCACCTTATTGCCCGGAACAATGGTATGCACATATTAAGTAGCACGTTCGTAAAAATTCACATTGCATTATCACGTTGAAGCAGCGACTTGAAAATACCGCAATGAATTATTTTTTAGGCCAGGAAAGGTGTGCTCATTTTGCAATTTGGGAGAACGAAGTCAGCTGGGCCAGGGCGAGTTGCTGAGATTCGCGTGTCCCGAAGGCTTTACTCCAGAAAAAAATGTTAACCGCGAGGAGACACCTGATCATCTTGTCGATGTATCATCAACTGGTGATAAAAGTCCTCGAGCCAGTGGAGCCGGAGCCGTCACGTGTCGTAGGCAAAAGAGTCTAGCTAAGTGCAGGTATACGAAATCGGTTATGGTTAAACGTTTTTACTGATTTAAGGTGAGGTGAAAGTGGCTACGCGAAGATCTCGTTTATGAAATTTTTCTCTGAACTGGGTGTATCGAATTGTTTCAAAGTTTACAATGTGAATATGGAGGCGATAAGGAAGGTCCTGACACCCATAGAATTTCAATTTTTTTTTTTAAATTCGTTTATTGATGTTTTCAATATTTTGTATAAAAAATAAAATTTCATTTGTATCAGGACCTTCCTTATAGCCTCTATGTTCATGTTGTAAAGTTTGAAACGATTCGGTACCCTCAGTTTGTAGAAAAGTTTCATGAACCATTGACCTTTCGGATGCCACTTTCATATCCCCTTAAGAATTCGTGATTTTCTAACGACCATACGTCTTTGTGTTCTCAGGAATGCTAGTCTTACAAATTTCACGGAGCCAATTGAAGAGTTAACTATAGTTGGATTTTCGGACGAGCCAGAAATAGGAACATTGTTTGAATCAACGGGACATTATTATGTTCATCACTTTTGCGCAGTTTGGTCGAGTAATTCTCAGGAACTTACAACTGAGATCGTTAGTCCAGCGGTGGTGCAGGCGTCGTCCCGTAGGTGTGCTTATTGCTCCCATTATGGAGCTGGAATCCCTTGCAAAGTACGCATTGCTCCTTAAATTACATAATATCACACATTCGTCTACTATTTTACGATTAATCTCAAATTATTACCGTTACAGGTGGGATCGTGCAATCGTTATTTTCATTTACCATGCGCAGCAGCATCTAGTTGTTTTCAAGACATCAAAACCTTATCTTTATTTTGCAGTCAACACTTGGGCCAAGTTCCCCTGTTACGTAAGTTTCCATTAATTCTGTAATTTAGAACATTCTGCATTTTCTTTCTACATTTCTGACCGTACATTTTTCTTTTAACGTGAGAATTGCTCTTTTAGCATCTTAAGTTGTATAAAAATTGCATATATTCATCCATTAAGGTGAAGTGAAACGAGAAGTTCGATCGACGTCGGTAAAAAGGATTCTTCCGAATATCTCTGTTATCGACGTTCGTATTTGTATTTACAGCTTTTTCGAATATTGAGTATTGTACTAAGTGGCATACTTCATGTGTCATTTCCGTACAATAATTACAAAGAAATCGATGTAAAACTCCAGAAATCTCTTGGATACATGGTTTTTGATGCCCCAATTGAGTGCAGAATGTCACTCTGCGCCATCTGTGATGTTAGTGTCAACTAAATTTTCTCTCCGAGACCTCATCTTACCTTCGTTTTATCATAGAATCGCATAAGACACCTTTTTTGCCTTTATCCCCTTCAAATACGTGTTTCTCGATTACGAAACTGTTCTAAATTGTTGTACAATTGTCCTGACACCTTCGTTTCTCATACCAGAGCGTTCAATACTTGTATATCGATCGAAATATGAGAGCTTGATGCCATTTTTCTTCTAGTCTATGCTAAGTAAAAAAAATGCTAGAAAATCCCAATTTTTAATGTGTCAGGATAATTCTTAGGTGATCATGAGCCACGTGTCAAAGTTTCGGACAGTTCGATCCAGTACCCTTGAAAAAAAAGTGTGTTATTCAAATCGACCGATTTGAAGGAGGTTTCACTTCACCTTAGTTGTATAAAAATTGCTTATATATTAATCCAGTAATTAATTGGAAATAATCAAGTGTATGTACCCTTTATGGTTTTTCTCCTTAATTTTAGTAAATGGAGAAGTAACTTGTATGCAGTGCTACGGAATGGGAGATGTTTCGAACTTGGTCATGTGTTCGATCTGCGGCCAACACTATCACGGTAGTTGCGTTGGCTTAGCATTATTACCAGGCGTAAGGGCTGGTTGGCAGTGTGCACAGTGTCGTATTTGTCAAGTGTGCCGGCAGCCTGAAGATGTAACGAAGGTGATGGTATGCGAACGGTGCGACAAAGCGTACCATCCTAATTGCTTGCGGCCAATCGTAACTTCGATACCGAAGTACGGATGGAAGTGCAAATGCTGTCGAGTGTGCACGGATTGCGGGTCACGTACACCAGGTGCTGGCCTGTCCTCGCGGTGGCACTCTCATTACACGGTATGTGATTCGTGTTATCAACAACGAAATAAGGGCTCCTTCTGCCCGCTTTGTCGGAAGGCATATCGCGCCGCAGCGTACAGGGAGATGGTAAAGTGCAGCACTTGCACGAAATTTGTTCACGGCACTTGCGACCCCGATGCTGACCCGTTGACTTATCAGCACCACAAGGAGGCAAAGCCGGAATACGAATACGTTTGCTTGCACTGCAAGAATATGGCACTTGTAAAACGTAAAGATAGCGCCGACGATTACGGTGGAGACTCCAGTTTAAATGCATCACAGGATAGTTTATACGGTGATGGGGACTCGTCAGAGTTCGACTATCAAGGTGGACCAGAAGAGTCATTATTTTCGATAGGACTTGGTAAAGGAAAACCTTTTTGTGCCTCCAAAATAGCCAAGAAAAGATTAGGTCTTGGTGGAGTAGTTAATCGCCCGAAGGGAGTTGGCAAAGTGGGCTATCAGAAGCGACAGAAGATGACGGAATTCGGTAGAAAGAGAGGGCCTAAGGCCAAAATGAGAGGAATTTTTGGTGTCCCTGGAGTGGGATTACAGGTATGGCTATTTGACGTCTATTGACAATTTATTAAACGGCTACTTAGATGCTGTAATCTACCGTCTAGGACGCTCTAAGAAACTACTTCATTTTTGTACGAACGAATTTTGTCTAAGATCTTTCCGAGGCTTAGAATTCTCGGTACGTTTATCAGCTTAAGCTTATCGCTAGAAACTTTCGTTTCTCTTTAGACCGATTATAAAGATATACATATATACTCCTTTCCAAATTAAACTTCTTCCGTCTCTGATCTCTTGAAGGTACCAAAAGGCTTGAATCGTTATGACTTTCTTTTTCAGAGACCAGTATCGGACTCGTTTTCGAAAGAGGAAGAACCGGGCGTTGAGAACAGATTAGTTTTGTGTTCCGCTAAAGATAAATTTGTGTTGACCCAGGACATATGTGTGATGTGTGGGGCGATCGGCACGGATCAAGAAGGCTGCTTGATCGCGTGTGCACAATGCGGTCAATGTTACCATCCTTACTGCGCCAACGTTAAGGTAACCAAGGTGATTCTGCAAAAAGGATGGAGGTGTCTCGATTGTACGGTATGCGAGGGATGCGGGGAAAGGAACGACGAGGGTCGTTTGATACTCTGCGACGATTGCGACATCAGTTATCACATCTACTGTATGGACCCTCCCTTAGAGTACGTTCCTCATGGTACGTGGAAGTGCAAGTGGTGTGCCCAGTGTCAAACATGTGGCGCGAACGATCCAGGGTTTAACAGCAGTTGGCAGAAGAACTACACCCAATGTGGACCGTGCGCCTCGCACACGATTTGCACTTCTTGCCAGGAGCCGTACAGCGAAGGAGATCTGATCATCCAATGCGTTCTGTGCGAGAGGTGGCTGCACTGCGCCTGCGACTCCATCAAAACGGAGGCAGAGGCCGAAAAGTGCGCCGAGGAGGGATACAACTGCATCATATGCCGGCCGAGAGATGTACCTCCACCTCACATGATATGCAACGTGCCTAAACCACAGCCGGTAAAGTGTCCTCGCTCACCGCCTCCGACCGTTCGCAGTCCCGAAGTGTTTAAGCCTTCTCCTCAGCAGTATTTAGTCGACGGGGTCTACCTATCCGAGGCAGGCATGAATCATATCAAGTCCCTGACGTTCGAGCATCAGCAGACCAGGAAGAAGAGACGAAAGATGCTCCCCGTCGTCGACAAGGAGGCCGACATCATGGCGACCATCGAGTCGGTGGTGGCTGGCGGGAGCCTGGACAACTCCTTGGAAGAAAACGGGGGAAAGTTGGAGCTGATCGACGTCAAGGACGAGCCTACCGAGGTTCTCAAGGAAGGGATGATTTGGACTGCCCGTGGGGATCAACCTCCACCTGAAGGTTTCAGCATTTATACCACGGAGAACGGCGTGCCGATGCTGAGGCGTAAGCGACAGCGCAATCTCCAGAAGCTCGGTATCGGCGGCTTCGTGGTTAGATTGCGAGGAACCCGTAAGGACAAGGACGACGAGTGCGAGACGACGGAGAAACCTGCCGAAGGTGCGGTTAGCGTGGGGGACGACAACAAACCGCGCCGGAAGCCGCAGAGAAGAAAACCAAAGACAAAGCTCTCGGAGTGCTTTCCTGTCTACATGCAAGAGGCCTTTTTCGGGAAAGATCTTATGGAGACGACCAAAGATAAGGACCTCGAAAGTAGCAGCGATTCCGACAGCGAGCGCAACGTGTCCGGTAACGCCGATACCATCCAGTTGTCCCAGGACGAGTTGAAAGCGATTGAGCAAGTCAAGGCGAAGCAGGAGAAGGAGGAGGAGAAAATCCCTGACGAATCCCCCATTAAGCGGGAGGAGATTTTAGACGAGGAACGGAGCGACACCGAAGTACTGGACGATTTACTACCTATGTCTGGCGACTTGCTCGACAATGACCTGGTCAACACCATTATGAACGAGCCTGACGAGGAGCTGGTCAAAACCAAGGTCCTGGACGAGTTGGACATCACTCCGGGACCTAGCAGAGACGAACTCACGGATATATTGAGCCCTCACTTCAATATAGAGTCGATAGTCAGAGATACAGGTCGGTATCTCGGAAATGTCCTCTATTAAAGTCACCTTAGACGATATTTTAATGATAAATGTGATATCTCCCCAGGTTTACCAAACATGGATAGCAAAGATGTAGAGGAAATATTTAAAGGAGTTCTTACGGACGAGTCCCAGGAATCTCAAGAATCGTCAGTGTTTCCTGTACAGACACAGCCGATACACGCGTCTTCGTCGTCGACTCCTCTTATATCTCCTTCTCAACATCCAGGTTGATTTTTCCTCTCTGAAATCAGCGCTATTTTTGTTACGCGAATATTGTACCGGATTCCGCGATATTAATTAATGAAAACTCTTGTGATTCTCTCTCTCATCGGTCGTCAATTGAACGATTTGATAATTCGTGCTGATGAACTCCATTGGAAAGAGTGAGTAGCGAGGAATAATCAGTATTTTAATTCGAATTTCCTTTCAAGGTATACAAGGTGGATTGCCGTTGGGGCGACCTCAGGTGCCTGGAAGTCTACCTTCGGTTGGACAATCAACTATAAATTCTCCAATGAGTTTTCCACCGCCGTCTCCGTACCATTCTGAATACAGCAAGTAAGAGTTAAATTAAAAACTCCTGAAATCTCGATCCTTACTGTATATAACTCTGTAGCGTCTCGCTCGAACTCAACGTGAGGGGCGCGTTTCTCTCTCAAAAATGTATTTGGCTCGAGACTGTACCGAGTTTCTTGATATCGTCCGTTTTGTCGCTTAAGGTGATATGAAAGTACCAATTGAGGAATCATTCGTTTATGAAACACTTTTCCGAATTGTTTGAAATCTACCCACGTGTATATAGTGGCCTTAAAGAAAAGTATGCCACCCGTGAAATTTCATTTGTTAGAAAAAATAAAAAATTGTTCTCAATAAATTAAACAAAAATTAAATTTCATGGGTGTCAGGCCCTTTCTTGGGGCTTTCGTATTCACGCGGTAAAGCTTCAAACGATTTGGTATACCTAGTTCGGAGAAGTTTCTTGAACGAGATTTCTCGGATGCCATTTTCGTATCCCCTTAACGGTTCACCTTAACGATGCCTCTTGAACTGTAGTACTAACGAGGTCTTAATTCAATTTACAGCAGTCCACAATTTAGTCCAGCCTTTTCGGAACCGCCAAGTCCTTGGGTTAATCCTGACGACGAAGGCTCGGCTCCATCGGGGAGTGCGGCCATCTCGTACAATCAGAGAAGTAATCTCAAGATGGAAGCCGACGAAGCCTTAGGAACTGGTGCAACCATATCTTCAGTGCTTTATGCGAACGTTAATCACCCCGAATGGAAAACGGAATATCCAGGTATACTTTTAACAGTGGCATATATTCCGTTTCTTTTGTACGAGCCTTCATTTGCAGTTTAAAGCGCATGGCGTGTTAAATTCAGACGCAAGTGGTTGTATAAGCCACGTAATGGCCGTTTGTGATTAATGGTAAAATATGTTCCAGCTTGGTCCGAGCGGTGCAAGCAAATATTAAAAAAATGGCGCGCCTTACCCAACGAAAAGAAAGCCCCATATCTCACGCAGGCTCGGGACAACAGAGCGGCGATTCGAATGAAAAAGACACAACAGGTAAGCGCGTCCGTCGTTTGTCGCGTTAAATGATACTATCTTTCCCCCCGCATATTATGTAGTCTCTTCCCCCCCATTTACAAAGATGTCTTGTGCTAACATAAGTCAAACTAACAGCTCGCCCTTTGTGTCACGTTGTAATATACCCAGTCTTGGTGTAAACGGCGACTGATGTTTCGTCGTTTAATCATATCTTTGTTTCGATATCGCGGTGTTCATTGTACCTCGCGAAGACCCATTCTTCTTGTCCAGTTTTCTTGAATCGACCGTGACTCTTAAGGTGATATGAAAGTGGCGTCGAAGAGGTCTCGTTTATGAAACTTTTCTCCAAACTAGGTGTACGGAGTCATTTCGAACTTTACAATGTGAATGTGAAGGCTATAAGAAAGGTCTTCACACCCATGGAACTTCAATTTTTTTCTTATTTTACTGATATTTCCAAAATATTTTATAAACAATGAAATTTCACGTATGTCAGGACTTTCCTTATAGTGTCCATATTCACGTGGTAATGTTTGAGATAATTCGGTAAACCCGGTTCAGAGAAAAGTTTCATGAACGATTGGGCTTTCGGATGCCACTTTCGCATCCCCTTAAGGGGGTACATAGGTTTGACGCGGTTCATTTTTAATGTTTTTCTTCGGGCTGAATTATAAATAAACTGAACAAACAAAATACTCTCATCTACAGTATACATAATTACTGCTACCATAAATGTTATACAAAAAGATATGAAAGTTTATCACAGGAATTTGTTTGCATATCGAATCGTTGGAGAAACAGTGCACCACGCAGAGCTTTAATGGTGTGCATGGTTTTGGATAAATTATTTATAAATAAACGTCATTAAGCGATATGTATACTTGTATATAGTGGAAGTCATTTATTTATGTTGAACAAATAAAATCCATTTTATTTATTAAAAAAATGCAAGTATTTAGGTATAAACATTGATCGATCTAACGTTTTTTGTCCGGAACTCTCTGCAAATTTTCATTTAAAAATATTCACTAGGTTCCTCTCAACGGTTACAAGTGTACAGATCGTTTACGTTTAATGGCACGTATTTCTAAGGAATAGTTAAGACGAAATCATGTACAAAGCTCCACATGATACACGATGCCTCTCCAATGATACAGAATGCTGACTACGGTGAACTTCCGTTTTCTATTTGATAATCTTTTCGGTAGCGGGAGCGATATACCGCAGCTGAAAGTATTTCGCTCGTTCGGTTCGTCCGTAACTCTACCCAAAGGAAGCGTTAAAAATAATCCGCGTCAACCTTATGCACTCCTTTAAAGTACAATTCCCGCGAGCTCGCCGTCGTTTCCCCGCACACGTAAGAAACGACGTAAGAACGCACCGAAACACCAGTCGACTCGTAACCGCGCGTCCCCGTTGATGGAATCGTTGTTTCGCCAGGAGCGTAGCTCTGCCATTAGGAATGCCAGTAAGCCGTGAGTCCAAAGCCCTTACGAGACGTGTCCCAAATGTTGTGCCTAACATCCCCCAGATGGCCCACGATCGCGCCGGAGCGAGTCTCCGCCGCTAACTCTGACCGTCTAAATGTGTTACCGTCCCCCAAAACAAAACCTGTAACATGAAAGCAAGTGTGTGAACGAGGCATACCCGTTGAACCGACAGATACCCAAGGATATGCCAAGCACGAACCCAGTCACTGCAACAAACGCACCCACCATCACGAGCAAACCCATTACGACAGTGACCTCGGGCCAAGTGTCGCCGGTAATAGCAATGGCCGGGGGTCAAAAGCAAATCGGACTTTTGGCCTCGGTGGGTTGCGCCGATAAGTCGCAGCTGACCCAGCTGTCGCACGAGAAGCAGGGGCCGGGCGCGTCTACGGCGGGAGCGGCTGCTGCTGCTGCGGCTCCTGGAGGAGCCGGTCATCTAGTTGCGGAGGTGTGTGCGGTACAGGGACCGCCGAGGCAGCTAACATCTTCCCCGAGCCCTTCCCCGACCTCCACGACACCCTCGTCATCGCCCAGACCCGGCTCCGTAAACTCTCTAAATTCCATGAACAGCCTGGCGCACCAAGAGCCGGTTACCGGTGGCCAGGCTAGGCCGGTACCTCCGTCCAACGCCGCGACTCCTCGGTGCAACGCTGCGGCCGTCGGCGATGGGCAACGTCAAACGTCACCGTCCCGTCAACGTCCCGTACCGCCACCGCCACCACCGCCACCTCCACCACCGCCACCTCCACCACCACCGCCACCACCACCACCGTCACAACCACAACCACAACCACCACCACAACCCGCTCATATCGCTATCGGTACCGGTACCTCGGTGACCCTCGGTGCCCCGACCGGCACCAATGGCGCCAACTACCCCAACGTGGCCCCCGCGACGGCGGGGGCTCGTCAGTTATCCTCGGTAGACCATCAGATTAGAGTGCTCACCCCCTCTGAAATCATGCGCACCCTCCCTTCCCTCAGCCAGGAGCACTACGATCCGCCACCCACTGCAATTATTCACACTGTACCTGTACAGTCCCCGGCTATGGTGAGCCACCTACGATGTGCCTCTAGTGTCTTGCCTTGTGCCACGTATCCGATATCGAGACAGATATATATATACGTATCTGTATATATATATATATTTATATACTTAGTGGTCCTAAGTTGTTATCCATTTTGTCCTTATTTTTTTTTTTACTTTTCTTATGTTCCTTCTGTTTTTGGATACCTCTTGTTTTGGAGTTTATGTACACCTTTCACGTTTTGTTTCGAGTTTTCATGAAAGGAATCGCGAGTCGATGTCGTGGTACGGACAGGTCGCGTTTTGTCGAATTTGAGAGCGGATCGATGTGGTTTTTGGTTCGAGACTTTGGATGGTGTCCCGGATGGACGGGGGTACCTTTTTGGTTACCTTCGTGTCGCAGTTTTGTGCTCTTTGAGGGTAGTTGTCGAGGGATCTCGGAATATTTCTAATTTACTACCCTGTTAAAAATGTGTTCGAAATATGGTATATATATATAGTCCAGGTTTTTTTTTCAAGGTGTAATTCAAAATTTCGTGTATACTTGTATCCGGGATTTTAGTATGCGTGTATACGAATTTCGAAATCATTTGTGCACTAATTTTCGACACGCACGAGTACGCATTGCACGTATTTTGCGAAAAACGCGCTCTAGTACTTTTATTAATATTTGTACCGATTTCTTTTCTGGGTTCTCCGTTTCTTCAAATTCATCAATACTTTTGTACGATTCTGACGTAAAAATAGTGTTATGGAAAATGTAATATGCATTTGCCCGGTTTTCATTTCGAGCGCTGCCGTTTCTAGTTTTATGTATACATTTGTATTTCAAAATCCTAGAAATATCGAAACATTTTTAACAGTGTATCTACATATTCGTACATATATATATACAGAATATTTAACCGAAATTGTAACTCAAATTTACACTATCTTATAAGAACACACATCTTTGGCATACAGTGCTGACATGTTAATATGCGTGAATCAATCACGCAGACATGATCACTATTATCTGTCGGATGGTTTTGTCTTTCTTACGTCGATCGAAAAGCTTTTGTTTCTCTTATTCGCAATTACATCCCAAATAGACAGATTTACGTCATATTGACTTCATATTACACTTTATCCGAGATGGAGGGATCCTCATAACTATACGTTTCTTGCGTGTCCTCATATTGCACTCACATTTATCTAGCTCATATTTTTTTACGTATCTCATAGTATGTCATCTCATGAAACTTCACACAGTGGAATAGAAATGTAGCTAAAATTTAAACTCTCATACAAGAGCACACATCGTTATACGATGCAAATGATATGGTGGCAATATGCGTGCATCACATGTACGTCTCTTATTGCACCGATATGTAGCTTATATTTCTCCACTTATCTCATAGTGTGTGGTCTCATGAAATTTCCCAAGATGAGATACAAATGTAGCAAAAATTTTAATTCTCATATGAGAACATGCATCTTCGTTATATACAATACAAATCATATGGTGGCAATATGTGTGCATTAATCATATGTACGTCCGCATATTGCACTCNATTCATATTTTATCACTTATCTCATAGTGTGTGGTCTCATGAAATTTCACAAGATGAGATACAAATGTAGCCAAAATTTAAATTCTGATATGAGAACATGCATCTTCGTTATACGATACAAAAATCACATGGTGCCAATATGCGTGTATCGTCACACACGTATGCCTCCATATTACCCTCATATTTTTTGTTTCACTTATCTCATAGTGTGATCGCGTGTGTGATCTTATGAAATTTCACAAGGTCGGATATAAATGTAGTTAAAATTTAATCCGTAACACGAGAGCATACATCTTCGTGTGTGATCTCGTGAAATTTCACAAGGTCGGATATACGTAGTTAAAATTTAATCCGTAACACGAGGGCATACATCTTCGTCGTACATGTGCGTGAATCTATCACAATTACGGCGCTATTATCACGACCGTCTATCTGGGATGATTTCCTATTTCTTACGTTGATCGAGGTGCTTTCGTCTCTCTTATTCACGATGGCGGCGCTGCATATCACGACCGCGTGTCAATTGTCGGTCTCCTTTCGCCGTTTCATTTGGAATGATCAGACTATTTGCAGAATATCATTTTGGAAGATGTATACGTGTTGGGTGGCTGCTACATGAATCGATATTATTGTGGTATATTGTACGATTTTTTTTTTTCTTTTTCTCTCTCTCCTTCGTATGGTTATCGTTATTATTGTCTCTATATGACTGAAGGCCATGTTGAATTATCCTTTTCTAAGGCATGTTAACGACAATTGGTAGCACTTTCTTACTATTATTTTGTCGATACCAATGATAAGCCCTCACTTTCCCATCATGTGACAACGGACGGTCCGTTTCCCCTTCCTCCTCCCATGACTAATTACCATGCTTCTTACGAGTCTTTTGTGGGTGATTGTAGTCTTGCATCGTATTGTTGTAGTCTATTCTGTCACGAACATGCAACACTTGGTTAAAAACTATCGTCCATGCTACGTGGTACTGCCGGATGCTTACACTGTTAAAAATATATCCGCTCGGAGATGTGTAAATGTAATCGAAGTTATCCTCAAGATGCAATATCTCGAGATTGCGTGAGCAATTGCGTTCGGGATTTTAATTTACAAGTGTGCGAATTTCAGAGGGAGTGCGCACTGAATTTTTAAATCCTTTGTATACTGACTGTCGATCGCATCTGTGAGAATTTATAAACAACTGATAAACTTTAAACAAAGGTACTTACACGGTTGTACGGCATGAGACATGTCGGATATCTTTGTACATTGATTTTCAATTATTTATACGTACATAATTGTACGTATTTTGAGAAAGGCGCGACGTAGTACATTTATTAACATTTGTATCAATTTGTTTTCTCCGCTTGTTGTTTTGTTAAAAAGTTTGAACACTTGCCTACAAATTCTCGCATAGAAATGGTGTTCTTTGAAATTCAGCAAGCGTATGTCCCGTTTTCATTTCCGGTGTCATTGTCTTCGGCTTTAGCGTACATTTTGTATTCGAAAGGGTTAGAAATATCGAAACAAATTTTTAACAGTGTACATTCGGTCCGCGGATATGTTCCTGTGATTTTTCATTAACATCGGATAGCCGGATCACGATCTGGCGTGGATAATCTAACAATAAGTATGGTAGAACATCCGCAGAGTTTGTGCACGCAGAAAAAGAAAAAAGAAAAAATTTTCTTCATTGAATAAAGTCATTTAATTGCAGCTGGTTCATTTCAGTCGTATCCGAAAACGTTCTGGTAAAATGAACCGAATTTTATTTCACTCGGCTAAGCTCGTTTGCTTCAATAAATTACAGTGTTTTGGTTAAATCATTTCGTAAATTTTGGAATGCATTTTAATCAATATACTAATTGTCTTGGTTAAATGTACGAAAGCAAATTTAAAATGCACGGTGACCTACCACAACGTTCGATACAATCAACCGGAAGTTATTAGCCAAATCATTTTGTCATATCAACCGAATATTATCCATTTCATAATCCCGTTTTATGAACTAACAAAAAGATGTTATCGATTCGAGATAATAATTTTCTGCGTGTGCATCCCAATTTGTACTTGGTGCAGGGTGTACCTTTAACACCAGACAAATCATTGACACGGCCTGTTTTTTCTCTTTTACTCGTAGCATTATATTTATACGTTTGGTGCCGATCTCATTAACTTTACGAACGTCTAATAATAGTCCATAGAGATGATTACTTGTACTTTAGGGGGAATGTCTTATATATCGAATTAATTCCGGGGTTCTTGCGATTAGCTGCAAAATTGATGACTTTTACTTAAGGTGAAGTGAAACACGTCGAGGAACTTGATCGACGTCGATAAAGAAGATTTTTGTAAATGCTTACGTTGCCGACGTTCGTTTTTCTATTGACAGCTGTGTCGAATTATATTGGGTATTGTACCAAATGGCATACTCCACCTCTCGTTTTCATACAATAATTATAAAGAAATCGAAGTAAAACTCTAGAAATCCTCTGGATTCGTGCTTTCTGGGGGCCCTAATTGATTGCAGAGGGACCCCCTGCGCCATCTGTGATTTCCAGGTCAATTAAATTTTCACTCCGAGACCTCATATTCCCATTGTTTTAGCATAGAAGCGCATACAATACTTTTTTTGCCTTTATCCCGTTCAAATGCGAGTTTATCGATTACCAGAGTGTTCTAAATTGTCGTAAAATTGTCCTGACCCTTTCGATTCTCATATCAGAGCCTTCGATAATTGTATATTGATCGAAATATGAGAGCCGACGCCATTTTGTTTCTGGTCCGGGCTGTTAAAAAAATTTTTTTAAAAATCCAAATTTTGAATGCGTCAGGACAATTCTTAGATGATCAGGAGTGATGTGTCAAAGCTTCGGACAGTTTGGTCTAATACCCTTAAAAAAAAAGTGTTGTATTCGAATCGACTGATTTGAAGGGGGTTTCACTTCACCTTAAGACGATCGTCGGGATGAATATATATTCCGATCGTCCTGTATGTCGATCGGAGCACCGAATACATTGCATGAGTTTTCTTTTAAATTAATGTGCAACGGAGAAATTTGTATATGCGACCACTTAACTCAGGTGTAATGGAATCTCGATGTAAACTGTGGATACGTTGTGTTCCTTACTTTAGATGGTGGCTGGTTATTGTCTCCGATATGTATATTGCACAGTCGAAAGATCTGTTAACCTTGCTGGACATATTAATTTAATTAACGTGCCTCATTCCTTTCTTTTGATATTTCGTGTATGATTTTGGCTGATTGTCATTGACGCCTCGTCTCACATATTGCAATATATATCGCTGCGGAATTATTACATCCCCTTAACTAATTGACAGTGAGTTTCTAACACTCGAGGACGAGCATTCAACTCGACTTTTAAAGACAATAACATTTTCAACGTTAACGTGGTTTCAGCGGGTCTCAGATCGGGGAATGTTCTAATGATGGATGTAATGATTCCCGAGTATTGTTCTTTACTGGTCGCTAATTCTTATTTTCTTAACAGGAGCCGGATAGGCTAACCAATAGAGATAGATCTAGCAGGGAAGCTGAACAGGAACGGCAATGGAAACAATTGCAGGCTTTCCGGCAACAACAAGCGCAAATTCAGCAACAAGTTATTCATGAACATCGTGTACACGGTAAATATGGCGCCTTCTTCTGTACTAAGGTGATGTGAAAGTGACGTCAAGGAATTCTCTTTCATGATACCTTACTCTAAACTGGGTGTACTGAATCTATTCAAACTTTATAATATGAATATGAAGGGTATAGGTAAGGTCCAGAAATTCAATTTCAATTTCTTTTAAATTTGTTCATAAATATATTTTTAATTTGTTATAAAAAATGAAATTTTATGAGTGTTCCGACCTTCCTTATGGACTCCACATTCACGTTGCAGGGTTTGAAACGATTCAGCGCACTCAGTTCGGAGAAAAGTTTCATGAACGATTGACTCTTAACCCTTTGAGCGCTAAGCCCTTTTGGCGTATGGGCGAATTTCATCGGGGCGTGCAAGCAATATTGGACCAAACGGCGGACGCACTTATGGGTCCATAGCGCTGAAAGAATTAAGATGCCACTTTGAGATCTAATTAAGGCGATATGAATGTAGCGTCTAAGGAGTCTCCTTTATGAAACTTTTCTCCGAGTTGGACGTATTTCATCGTTTGAAATTTTCCCACGTGATGTGGAGGCCTTTGGGAAGGTCCTTACACCTATGAAATATCAATACTTTATAATTTGTCTATAAACATTTTTGGTTATAATAAACGTATATCAATTCACTTTTAAGACGTGAAATATAATTTTTCTACGACTTTAAGTGCGGAAGTGCATTCAGTTTGTGAGTATTTTTAACAGTGTAACCAACCAATAAGGATTAAGAATGTATTTAGCTTTGACGCAATGCGATTATAATCGATATGATTACCAATTGTATTACTTTTTTATAGGTATGGCCAGAGTTCACAAACAAATAGAGGATACTACACCTCAAATGGCTGCGGATAATTCATCAGGACTGACAACTCAGCTGCAAGTTTCAACGGCTCAGGTGAGCAATGCAACTAATCGTACTCTTTGCAAAGGAAAATCTTCTGAATACGGATTCATAATAACTTGCATATGCCTTAATAAGTTAATGCTAAATTCTGATGCTTTAGGGTCCGTTCACATAGAGCGCTAGTTCATACAATGGCACAGCTATATTGCGTTCACAAGTAAAGCAAGTTCACAGGTAAAAGTTTTACTTGTAAACGCAATTTAGCCGGAACATTGCAATCCTGTTTCCTGGCGCGAGCTGTAACCCGTGTTGTAACCACGTGTTATAACCACGTGATGTAACCACGTGGTGTAGCCACGTGGTGTAACGTGGTGTAACCACGTGTTTCACTCCGCTGTCTTGTATCCCGTACACGATTACACGCATTTTTTGAGGTCGGCGGGCAATTTCCAAGTGCAAATCGGAGCACTTTTGTGCAATTTTGTGTTGAAATGGCCCAAAGGTGAATGGAGGACCCCGCGTTGACATTTGTTGAATGTATCGAGGGGAAGGATGTCTCTGGAAACTACAACAGGACAAGAATAGAGAATAGAGTACAGTTCTTCACCCAACACGTTCAAATACCGTTTAATCTATTTGTTTGTCAAGTGTTTAAAATTGCGTCGCCCCTTCGACATTTGTGTGGCATAGCACGTGACTTTCCGCTTACTACTATGCAAGTACTAGAAGGCGGGGTAAACGCTCCTATCTCGTAAAGCACTCGGTTTTAGTGACTCGTACGAGTTACTAACACCGTGTAAATTCTACTTAAATTCGGGTTTTATGGTGCAATCAGCAACGGGTATCGGGATACAAGCAGGAGGCACGAGACGGGCCATCCTTTTTCATTCCGAAATGTCTCCTTCGAAGGATGGAAATCACATGGGGCCGTTGGCGTCGCCGTCGCCTGGATCTCGCGGGGCATTCGCTACGCCGCCGATAAAGGTTACGCGAGCAGTCGCCCCGCCGAGTCCTCTCCAGGGTATTCCTCGGCTGCCGAACCAACCTTGCGGTACGGTGGTGCGTCCCGTCGGGGCCGCCGTGCGTCCCGGAATGCCGACTACCTTTACGCAACCCCCCTCGCCATTTTCCCCCCAGGCCCCCCAGTCGCCCCACGACTTCCCCCAGTCCCCGGCCTCCTCCCAGCCCCAGGACCACTTTCCGCGTTTCGAGGCCAACGAGGCTTTCTCTCAAGGTTCTCAAACCCCCAGGTCGCAGATACCCGGCACTCCCACCTATTCCACTTCGCCCAGAAACGACGTCTTCTCCCAGCCTCCTGGCACCCCGAGGCCGCTCTTCAACGCGCCCACCCCGAGACCTTCCACCCACGTCTACGCCCCCTCGAGAACTCCCGATCCCTATAGCGCCCAGCCTCCGACGCCCTCGGCCGCCCCGAGCTACGCCTCCCCCAGGCCCGAGTCCCGGTCGGACGTCCAGACCCCGGAGGTCTTCGCCCAGCAGCCCGAGGTCAATCGACAGCTCCGCGACCTCCTGCAGCGGCAGCAGTTCAACAAGAAGATGGAACCTCTCAACGCGGCTTGGACTGCAGGTGGGTACCGGTCGAGGCGAGGAATCCGGACGTTCCTTGGATGCCCCTTGGACCATATGTATCTAGACCTTGCGTTGGACCTCCCACTTCCACAATTTCAGTAAGCAGAATGGCTTTAACTTTGTGGGTGGAAGTTGGCTCACGTAGTACATTCGTTTACCCCTTTCCCTGTAAGACGGTCTACGTACATATATGGTCTAAAATCTGATTCGGTCAGAGTGCAGTCAGGTCACTTGGCATTCGAATTTACCCCTTTCCCTGCAATGCGAGGTAGATATATATGGTCTAAGGGATGCCCACGTTCCTTGATACTAGGGATGTTAAAGCATCGCATTGCTGTTTGGTATATATTTCACTGGTTTCTATTTTTCCAGATGGGCAAGCAAATGCCGAAGGGGGTCAGCAACAGTTTGAGACTGGTCATGTGCAGCTTCCACAGCACACGGCATCACCTGGTAACACTGGTGAAGGTACATTCAGACATCCTCTTCCACCCAGCATCGTCAGACCGAGAATGCCCATTCAGCCGAACGTTTTGATAAGGAATCCTATCGGTGAGTGTCGTACCGCACCGTTGATATTTTACCTTCGAAATAAGTAATAACTTTATTGATGATTCCCATTGACGATTATGGGTTTAATTAATGCAGGGTTAAGTCCACGGCATCCAGCAGCAGCAAGCATCGATGCTCGACTTCAGGGCATCGACCCAAGGGCGAGAATGCTTATCCAACGTCAACCGGTATCCGTTGGTGTACCTCAACAACACTTTCAGGCCAACCAAGTATTACAACGACTGCCTACGCCTCGGATGCCCCTTAACGAACCGTATGATATTTTGCAGCAACAAAGGTTTACAGGTAACTAAAGGAACTTGCTCCGTTACATATTTAATAACAGTGAAATCGATAGTATCTATCATAGTCCCTGAATGTGACTGCTCCAAAATGGATAACTCATAAGGTCCCTTGCCATGTTCGAGTAGATTCATTTTAAACCGAAGATCGCTTTAACTTATGAAGAATTTCAATGTGGATGTTGAGGCCATAAGGAAGGTCCTAACGCTCATGAAATTTCACATTTCACAAGGAATTTTAAAAATGTCTATGAACAAATGTGAAGAAAAACTGAAATTTCATGAGTTTCAGGACCTTTCTTATATCCTCCATATTTGTATATTGTAAAGTTTGAATCGATTCGGTACACCCAGTTTGTAGAAAAGTTTCATGAAAGAGAACTCTTCGATGCCACTTTAACATCACCTTAACAGAGAAGTTATATATATTTAAAAATGATTTGCCGTAAGTTATTTGAGGGAAACAAAGGTGTTCGTCTTAAACAGAGCATCATGTTGACTCCTTTATCTTTAACGAATTCTTTCGTTTGTAGAAACTAACCCTGGACAAGGCCTGGGGCAACGAATCGTGCGAGCGGCAGGACAGGACAGTATTAACCAAGGAGTTCGGATGCTGGCAAGTTCAGGGATGCCCCGGGCGCGAATTATGCAGAGTGCAGTTAGCGACCTCAACACCGTGGCGCCCGAAACTTCAGAGATACCGGACAACGTCACCGCCGAACTCGAGAAACTCGAACAGGAAGGTGCGCCGATGGTGGAGGTCGAGGGCGTCAGTGCAATTTTGGGAGATTTGGGCGACGACGATGACGAACTCCTAGGTATGCGAGAAGTAATTCGAAAATGGATCCTTTAGCTCTTACTCGTATCCCTTTTTTGGCGTTAAAAGACGTTTTTATTATCTTTCAGCCATTTAAGGGAGTGCTCAAATCGACTGAAATGATCGAATCGATCCGAACGTCATTTTTGTAATGAAACAAATATAGGTAGCAGCATTAACGGTTATCACGGTGTTCCATTAAATAAAATTGGAAATGTCCTTACGCGCACTCTATAGGCGACGCGAAGTACTGTTGGTTAGTTGGTTACTTTTGCCCATTTTATGTTGAAATTCGAACAAGTTTGGGAAAAGTTTTGACAACTACTCATCAAATGCCATTGTATTACTTTCATCCTAGTTTATTATATTGTAGTATATTTATTATAATAGATGGCTATTATGGTCGCCATCTGTGCTGATGACTCGGAGCTGAATGTTGTTCTTCCTTACCTAAATTGTAGAATTTTGTCATGTAAATGACGCGTGTAAATCGAGTTCATAGATTTCACCTATTTTATCCGTTTCAAAATTGTTTGGAAATGGTTCATTGCCGATTTATTACTGTTTTTTTCTTTTTTCTTTTTGTGGAAGTACGGTTGTCCCAATTGATAGTCGCAAGTGAGAGTTCAATTGGTAACAGAATCTGAAAATTTTAGTTTTTTTCTCGATTTTAGTACGCTTCGTATAATTACTTCATTAATCTTTTAGTTATTTATCATCTTGAAAAAGCTCTTTTTCATTTTATCCACTGACAGAGACTTCATTTTGTCCTGATTGCCAGTCTTGAAATACGTTTTATTTCCTTCATCGTGCCGCTAAATAAATGTTTACCATGAAAGTAAACCAGGTAGATAAGCGCAAGTTTTATTATATATGAAAAGAAAATTTATTTCATACTTTCCTATTTTCTTTAAAGTAGGTTTATTAACACTTTACCGACCGGCGAATTTGGGAGTAAATGGCGATCACTGGTATCGCAAAACCGATTAATAGGCTCCCGGTCGGTAGAGTGTTAAAAAGGCATTATTTAATGTTGAAATTGATCAACTGGTACACCATTGACTATTCCTGAGGACAAAAGTAAAATCTACGATTTTTATTTCAGCGGAGATGGGTTCCGACTTCAACATTTTGGAGTACGCCGATCCCGAGCTGGACAACATTACCGGTCGGGAGAAGACTAATATTCTCGACTTGGACCTGGAGCAAGTGGAAGTGGAAACTAAAGAGGAAAAGCAAAAGAAAGAGCCCAAGGAAGAACCGAAACCAGAGGACTTGGGCGGCACCACTACTAGTCATGCCGATATTGGCCCAGCTAATACAATAAGTACTTCACAAGCTCCAACCGAGACGACCAACGTTCCCAGCCAGGCACAACCGATACAGACAATTGCATCCTCATCACAACCGCCCCAGCAACCAGCGGTTATGATACCCCAGTCGTCGCATCCTCAGGCTGCCGTGGTGCAGCAACAGATGCATCAGCAGGTTCAGCAAGCTGCAGCAATGGGAAGACCGATGCCTCCGGGTACGCGTCTGTTATCGCCAGATGGCGCCATCGGAGTTGTCACGTCTACCAACTCTGTCACAGTCAGCTACCCGTCGACGTTTCCGGGGCATCCTCAGCGAATACCCCAAACCCATATGCAGGGTTAGTTGAACTGATTTACAGTACTTTTTTTGTTGTTTATTTCACTTGCTGCTATTAAGGTGATATGAAAGGATCATTCTATACCCATGAAACGTCCGGGTGCATTGAATCATTCGAAACTTGAACACGTGATTATGAGGGCCTTAAGGAAGAACGTGGTGCCTATGAAATTAAAAAAATAAATAAATAAATACAAATGTATTCTTGGTTTTAGTTTGGGATGAATAACAATCATTTTTTTTGTTAAAAATGAAATTTCACGAGTTCCGCGTTCTTCCTTAGGGGCTCCATAATCACGTGCTGACGTTTCATATGATTCGGAGCGTTCAGTTTGGAGAAAAATTTTATAAATATTTTTATGTTTTATATATATATATATAGAATGACCCTTACATATCATCATAACGTTTCGTACCGGGTGAGTCAGGTAAAGTAGTACGAACATATATTTCTAAAACGAAGTGGCTTCGAGAGAAATGGTTGATTTTTAAAATATTGTGTATAAAATGAAATTTCTCGAGATGTGTAAATTTGAATTCGGTACACCTGGCTTGAAAAAAATGTTGATAAACGATTGATCTCTCAGATGCCACTTTCGTATCGCCTTAATATTTGCAAATTTCACGTTACCTCGCTTTTTTATTGACTTGAAACTAAAATAGTGGGTTAGAGAGGGTTAAGTACATACAATTCCACAAATAGTGATATTTTATTCTATTATAACACTAATACACGTTTCTGTATTATAATACTAATACATGTTTCCCAATAGTTCAACAGCAACAACCGCAACGACTTGGTATGAGAGTGGCTGGTGTTTCCGGTGTCACCGCCGTTCCTGGCGTTGCTGGTGTTCCTGGAAGAGTGGTTTCAGTAAGCCATATGATTGGACCACGAATGCCATTGGCACCACCTCCACCTCCACCTCCATATCCAGGGCCGCCACCGCCATACCCTGGACCAATGCAGGTTTGTGCGCAGACTCATGTGGCTCTGGTTCCTTGGAATTTACATGCATCGCTTTCAGATTCCGTATTTTCACTTAATTACGTTAACATCTTTTCCTCTAACACCTCCGGATTCGCCGAACGTAGTACGTGAATTCAACGAAAGCGCTAAGATCGCTTTACTCTGGTGCGTGCAGCGGAAGTCCATTGATATCCAATCATTGATTATATTCACAGGATGTCCCAAATTTCGTTATATCTTTCGAAACAGCTGGAAGTTGGTGATATTTGGAGTCGATAGTTCCTCTTCTACTTTTCCGACAGATCTTTATTTATCGATTTATTAACAATTAAAGTTGACCCATCTCGAGAGCGCGATCGACGTGCGCCAGTGTTCATCTTTTTATTTTATTCCACTTTTCTTATATTCCAAACTCAATTTTAATTCTGTATTTAAAACTAATGACAATAATTTAAATAGTACAGCTTGAACAATTATTTAATAATCAAGTGTGTCAATTAAACTGGACACTCGCGTTTCTATTTCATCTTAGCGTTTTCCTCAGTTCATAATTGAATTAATTACTTGAAAGTAATTACAATCATTTTAATAATAACATTTGAATAACAGCGAAGTTGTATGTAATTACTAGTTTATTAAACCAGTCACCTAAATTGATTGAGGGCTATCCATTTATCACCGATTACTTCCAATAAATCGATATCGTCAGTGGATGCTTCTTGTGCTAATGTATCGTAAAGTCAAGTCGATCGCAAAAGCGTTTTCACGGATTAATGGACTGTTTCACGGAGCGAGTTTTAACGCGAAGGCATGCGGTATAATTGAATTAAAAACCGACTAATTACGAAGAGCGGCAGGTGCGTTTTTGACGTTGAGTTAAGGGGATGTTAAAGTGGCATCTGAAGAGTCAATGGTTCCTGAAACTTTTCTATGAACTAGGTGTACTGAATCGTTTTAAACTTTACAACGTGAATGTGGAGGCTATAAGGAAGGTTCCGGCATTTGTGAAATTTCACTTTTTACAACACGTTTTAAAAATATCAATGAATAAATGTAAACAAAATTGAAATTTCATGAGTTTCAGGACCTTCCTTATACCCTCCATATTTGTATTGTAAAGTTTGAATCTATTCGGTACACCCAGTTTGGAGAAAAGTTTCATGAACGAGAACTCTGTCGCCACTTTCGCATCACCTTAAGGGGATGTAAATTGGGCACCTGAAGAGACAGTCGTTCATGAAACTTGTCTCTGAACTGGGTGTACCGAATCGTTTCAAACTTAACAACGTGGACAGGGAGGCTATAAAGAAGGTCCTGACACTCATGAAATTTCAATGTTTAGACAATTTGTTTATAGATCATTTCAAAGTTTTTGATAAAACATGAGATTTCATGAGTTCCAGGATCTTCCTTATACCCTCCATATTTGTATTGTAAAATTTGAATCTATTCGGTACACCCAGTTTGGAGAAAAGTTTCATGAACGAGAACTCTGTCGCCACTTTCGCATCACCTTAAGGGGAGAGATCCATAAGTGTCCGTTTGACTCGACCTTCGTAAAGACTCCCGATGGCCGGACTCGTCGAAGGAGCGCCCCTAGGGAAAAGGAGTTACGAGTTTCACGCAAACGTAGGAGAGTAGATGAGTGATTTATTTGGTACCTCGTGTACTTGGCTGGTAATCTGGTGTTTTGGCCTGGGTGTTTGCAATGCATTGGTGTTGGTGCATGTCTAGATGGGGCTGTGCCCGGGTGGGCGGGGTGTGGCGAGGCCCCCGGTCCATATAGGGCACCCGGTGCCGGTGGCGAGTACACCAATGACACCTGTCGTTCTTGCCGGTGCTCCGACTATGGCACCTCATCCTCATCGAAGACCCTTGCTTCTGCAGGTGAGCAAGATTTGGGGCATTTAGTACTTACCGTTCGTCGCGACCGATTCGGCACCTTAAGATGATACGAAAGGCGCCGAGAAATTTAATCGAGGTCAATAAATTAAAATTTATCTATCCATTCTTGATGGTAACGTCATTTTGAATACTCAAGTGGGAACATAAGCTGGCGCGTCCCGTTACCGACATTTATATTTATGTTCAAGTCTTTTGCAGTCCACGTTGAGAATGATACGAACTTAAGCGTTTATTATGTAATTTCGGTAAACTAATGACGAAGACATCGACGTAAAACTGTCGAAATCCCGTGAATTCATTATTCTAACGACTGTTTAGGACCAACGTCGCCATCTGTGACGTTTAGCTGCAACTCAATTTTTGCTCTAAAGAAACGTGTTAGCCATGGGACAAGCCGGCATTCTCTTGCAATCGTTGGTGAAAGTATTTTCCATATTTTCCCATCTGACTCTGTAATATTCCATTTATACGGTATTATAAATTGTTCGAGCTAGGTTCTGAAACTCTTCATTTTCTATCCTAAGCCTCCAAGAAGGGTAAAACATCGAAAACGTGCACGGACTACGCCATGTTGGTTCTAGTCCATGATAAGTAAATGCATTTTGTATGAAAAAATGAAATTAGGTAAAGTTTGAAAGAATTCAGTGAAATCCAATTCGGAGAAAAGTTTTGCAAATAATTTTCCGCCACGGGGGCCACGTACATATTACCTTAACTATAATAATTTTCATATTACCTTAAGATATGGTAATTCACTTTCGCGAAGAAAAATGCAATTGTCATTGGCCGCGAAATTAAACCCTGCTGTTAAGGAGAAATGATGTACCCGTACATGTCAATTACACGCACCACAATGTCGCAGGACATAGAGATTATATATATGTAAAGTTCTTTTAGTATAGTTTTTTTATGTGACTTTGTAGTATATCAAGTGGTATTGTGTCTCTCTGTCGTATCATAATGAATTTATTCTGTAATATTAGGAGTGGTGTTTATATGCATTCACTCTTTTCATCGTTATTTCGACTTTTAACCAATCTCAGCGTCCAGTGAGGTTGTTTGTTTGACGACTTCTTAAGTAGTTACGCTACTTTGACGCCTAAAAATCAATTATTTGAGGATTCTTTTAAAGATATAGCAAATCAGATTAAGTATCTATTAATATACATGTATTGAAGTATAGGAAAACGTTTGTGTATTTTTTTGCCAATCAAAATGGCATCGCTAGAGTTGGTCCACAAAAGATGAATTGTTTATAACTGCAAAGCAGTAATAGTACTGGGAAGAAAAAAAAATTGTCATGTTATATATGACGTTTAATAAAGAAATAGAAATGGGGGTTTTTTAGAATATGTTTTCTTATGAAAATGATGCACATTTTATAAACAAATGTCACATTTCACTTAAAAATGTGTAATAAAAATATCGGTAGGAAGGTCAGTTATTAATATATCGCGAAACGCCAGCATTTATTTTCAATAAATGTCGTATAGAAGATTTAAATTTCTTACCTTTTGTTTCAAGTACTACTACTTTGCATTTATCGCGCTCCGTTTGGCGCTTGGTAAAAAAGAGAAATTTGTTTGCTGTACTTCTATGATTGTACAATAAGTGCTCATCAATTTTATATATCTTCTAAACGAAATCTCGAAAATAGTTGAATTTTTGCACATCAAAGTGGCGTAACTCCTTAAGCGTCGATTGCTCTCCCTTGAACACAATAAATGTTCCTCTCGTCGTCTGAGATTGGTCTATCCTTTTACATTTTGGTAATGGCTGCAGCAAATAATGGTTCTCGCATGGCGATTTGTTTATAATTATTTTGTCAGACTTGTCATGTTTTATTTCTAACAATGACAGCGACTCGATGTGTCCCCGAGTGTTGAAATCGCGAACGCGTTTAATCGGCTCAGTGAGTCGGCTGGAACATAATTATACATTAATTGGAAACGATCTTAACTGTCAGCAGTCCTGTTCGCAGGAGCAACCGTTGCTGCTGGAAGAGCTGCTCGAACAGGAGAAACGAGAGCAGGAGAAGCAACAACAGCAACAACAACAGCAAGCCGACACTGCAGGCTCCGGTGGCGCCCTTCTCAGCGATAGCGAGTTCGAGAGACTGCGAGCCGATGTTCTGGGATCTACTCCAATTCCTTCTCCTCCTCAAGGGATCGTGAACATTCCCGGGAATGTTCCCGTAATTCGACCACCTTGTACCCCAAGGCCGCCATCGGCACCGGGTTCGAATTGGCCTCAGGGTCTTCCGGACGCGGCCAAACTTGCTGTTCAAACTCCCAGACAGCCTATAGCCACGCAAACTCCTCCCGAACGTAAGCTTGAATTACGATACTTTGATAATACATTCATTATTTGTTTACTGTGCTCGGAAGGGAATTTTCAGCTATTTTGTGCATTCATGAAAGTTCATTTTGACGGCCAAACTTGCTGTTTAAACTCCCAGACTATAGCCACGCAAACTTCTCCCGAACGTAAGCTTCAATTACGATACTTTGATAGTACATTTATTATTCGTTTACTGTGCTCGGAAGGGAATTTTCAGCTGTTTTGTTCATTTACAAAAGTCACAAAACTTGCGGTTCAAATTCTTAGACAGCCTACAGCCACGCAAACTCCTCCCGAACGTAAGCTTGAATTACGATACTTTGATAATATATTCATTATTTGTTTACTGTGCTCGGAAGGGAATTTTCAGCTATTTTGTTCGTTCATAAAACTTCATTTTGACGGCCAAACTTGCGGTTCTAATTCTTAGACAGCCTATAGCCACGCAAACTTCTCCTGGACGTAAGCTTAAATGACAATACTTTCATAATACATTCATTATTTGTTTACTGTGCTCGAAAGGGAATTTTCACCTTTTTTTTCACTCATAAAAGTACATTTTAACGGCCAAACATGCTGTTTAAACGCCCAGATAGCTCATAGACATGCAAACCTCTTCTAAACGTCAGCTTGAATCTCAATAACTTGATAATACATTCATTATTTGTTTATTATGTCCGGAATGGAATTTATAGCTATTTATCTGATTCATAAAAGTTAACATTAGCGTTAAAAAAATCACCGTGTGGCCGCCATGCGCATTGCAAGTCAAACTATTACGTTAAAGAAAATTATCAGATAATATTAATTATTCCTGAATTACTAATCGAAGAACGCCCTCACAATGCCCTATTCGGCGTTAATTGTTTCGGGCTTCATTACTTTAATTTGTTTATTTGTATTAACATTAACGGAACGCTTACGTAGGTTCTGTCAGTACTAAAACAGAGATAGGTGTAAACAGTAGTTAACTGTAGAGAAGACAATTGAGATATGCCAATAATAATGAGCGTTTGTAATGTTAACTTTGCCATGTTACAAGTACAGTTTCTGATTGATTTGAACAAATTGAGATTTAATAGTTCTGACGAAAACATTTACTCAAATTCGGGGCATTTTGTATCTTACTGTGACATTAAAATTCCTAATTTGCATTCCATGACTAAGTTTAAGGAAGACGTAGTTCTACGTCTAAAGTCAATTGTTCCCTTATCCTTTTCAGCGAGGGTGGCGACGTTTAATATTCCACCGTTACCAGCGCCACCAGTCCCACCGGAAAACATCGTCACTGAACAAGATCGTCAAGTGCAGTTGCAGTATGAACAGTGGTTAAATCATCAACATCAAATCTTATCGCAACAGCTGAAGTATTACGAGACCGAAGTTCAGAAGTTACGAAAAATTCGGAAGGTAAATATATATATTAGGTTGAGACGTAGATTCGTGCGGTTCATTTTGGAACTATACGAATGAAAAAAAAAATCACACGAATTTATGCGTAACCCAATAAAACACATGTATTTATATTAGATTAAGACACAAGTGCGTGCGGCGTTTTTTGAACGATTTAAAATAAGAAAAGAAAAAATCGCACAAACTTATACCTCAACCCAATAAAGCAGTTTAGGTTTGATGGAAGTTTTACGTTTTACGTTTTCAACAGACGTACTTTTATTAAATTGAGGCATAAGTGCGTGCGACGTTTTTTTAACGATTTGGCCAAAAAACGTGCACGAATTGATACCTCAGTTCAATGGAGCACCATAAATTTGATTGAAGTTTCAAGTCTTTTAATAAATGTATTTATAGTTGACCGAGGATTAAGTTTGTGCGCCTTCTCTTGAAGGACTTAAAAACCGCACGAACATACAATCGGTGACCAAATTATTAGTTATACGTGTTAAAATTGCATTATGATCAATTTTAAGCAACAATATTGATTAAATACATGGTGAATGTATGGGCTATTGATATGTCAGATAAAATAGGCATTCCACTGTAATTTAAAAAAACAAACTCACACATTACACAAGGTTCATTCAAGAAAAGTCTTGCCGTGAACATTTTCCCCAAAACTCGCTTCAAATTTAGTAGACCCTCTTTGACATTGGTCGCAGCCTGAATTAATCTTAACATGCTTTTGATCAATTTTTTGCATCCTTTTTCAAGTAGTCCTGACGCCAAATTTTGATTAATGCTTCGATGGGTTTTATTTCATTTGTCGCATTTTCTTCAGAAATGTCCTCTTAAGAAGTTCCCAGACATTTTCCATGAGATCGGCAATCGGTATTGTCAATAGAGAAAAACAAAGACGGTACTAAGAAACTCGGTAGAGTTTCGCGCCAAGTATATACATATAGAGGCGCGAAACCCTGACCTAGTCTGCGATGTTTAACCTGGCGCTTTAATTTCCATGTACAGTATTGAAGTAAAAATAATTACAGAGGAAAAACTAAGTCCATGTGTGCATAATAATGGTTGAACCTGAAGTAACAAGAAATGTTTGAGGGTAACTAATAAAATGGCCACCGACTGTATATCCCAACTCGATATGAATGATTCTAACATGCTCACATCTTGTAAGAACTTACATATGTACTTTATCTTACTTTACATAATTACATATGACCTTACATAAGTCTTACATATGAAATTTCGTTCTTCAACAGTCATTGAACAGCAAGCAGCGGCAGCTTCGGAAGTCCGGGAACGAGCTTGCAGAGAACGACGCGGCCGAGTTGCAGCGTATTTCCAGCGAGCAGGCAGTTTTGCAGAAACATTTGGACGCCAGTCGGAAACAGACGCGTCAACACGGGATGACGATACAGGAGTATCGCAGTAAACAACAGCAAAGGCAGCCACAGCCCCAGACGAACGAGCCGTGCTCGCCGTTGATGTCCCCGTCGCAGCACTCGTCGCCCATGCACAGTCCTGCAGCGCTGGTGTCCCATAGTCCAGGACCAGGAAGCGTTCCCTCGAACATGATCCAACACTCCCCCGCCACATCGATAATCCAGCATAGTCCGAATCCTCCACTGCTGCAGCACAGTCCCAGTAACCCGCAGTCGACCAATCCAGGCACGATGTCTCCACACAACATGCAACCGTCACCGAGAATCGGCACTCCGCATTCCCAGGGCGAGGAGAGTCCATTCAGTCCAGGAGCGATGCCATCGCCAGGGATGTGCGGCCCAACGGCTACAAGGATGACTTCCCCTCAACACAGAGCCGTAATAAGCGGAAGACACGCAACTAGTCCAGGTGCGTTTACCTCCGACGGCCGAGCGACGCAGCAGATCATCGTCGAGCAAGGCTCGAGGCTCCACAATTTGGCACAACGCTTTGTGCGCCCTCCAGCTGTTGGTGAACCTGGACAGAGGCCTAGGATGCAGCTGCAGAGTGGGATCGTTTACGGGCAGCGCTCCCCACTTGGTAGCCCTCAGCCTGCCCAACAACCGATGCTGACGCAGCAGCAGCACCAGCAGATGCTCCAGCGACAGCAGATCATACAACAGCAGCACGAGGTAGGCGGGATATCCCAAGAGGGGCAGATTATAACTCAAAGGACGCTGCAGATGGTGCAGCAGAGGCAGCAACTGCTTCAGCAGCAACAGCAGCAAATAGTGCAACAACAGCGCCAGCAGTTCCTGCAGATGCAGCAACAACAGCAGCAGCATATGATGCAGAAGCCGCCGAGCTCGCCGATGGTCTCGCAGCCGGCGAACTCGCCGAGTCCCCAGCTCCATCAGCCCATCCAACAGAACTATGGGCAGCCTCCGAGCTCCCCCATGCCCCGGAGCCCCATGGTTCAACAAACCATGGGCTCGCCGATGCTGCAGCAACAACTTAATCAAACGTCACAACCTCCCAGTCCTATGGGTGCCAGGATCCACTCACACCCGCCGAACTCCCCGATGGTCTCGCAGTACCAACCATCGAGTCCCATGTCTCGGAGTCATCTCTCGACGTCACCGATGCTGCAGCATCAGCTGAACAGCACCCACCATCCGCCTCCGTCCCAGACTCCAAATTCACCGATGCCTCGTAGTCCAATGGTAGGCGGTTCGCCGATGCAGATGCCGAGAAGACAGTCGAGTGGTAACAGTCCAGCAATGCCGGACAGACCGCAAAGTGTGGAGAATCCGGGAACACCGAGGACACCACACACACCACATACCCCACACACGCCGCATACGCCGTATAGTACCCAAGGGACGAACAATCATCCCACAGGAAACGATCAACATCAGCAGCAACAGCATCATCAAGCTCAGCAGCAGCAGCAGCAGCAGCAGCAGCAGCAGCAACAACAGCAGCAGCAGCAGCAGCAACAACAACAGCAGGAACAAAACAACTCATCGGATCTTCCCAGTAGAGGGGGAGGAAACCCACACAATCCGATGAATCCTTTACCTATTACCGCTTATTTCGGTAGATACGGATACTTCAAACTAGGTTTGAGAGGAGGATCACCAATGTGGTCCATGAAGGCAGAATCCAGCAAAGGGAAGACTGCCGAGACGCATCTGCCCAACGTCGAGGAGAAGCCAAATACCTCCACCGTGGTGCACAGGAAAACCGGAATTTCGCAGTCGAAGATCAACTCTCTCGTTTGTGCGGATTATAATGATTTCGATGACGATTCGCACACACCACCGCAGACGCCACCTACGGAAGTGGAGCCGAAGCCTACCTCGTCGCTTGCTGACAATCCACCGTTGACTGTTGGAAGTCCCGGCGATAAACTTGATCAAATCCCTGATACTACGGACTATGACGATGATAAAACTATCGTCAACACGGAAGTGACCCTGAGTTCCACGGCGCAACGCGATAGCGATGATATCACGGTAATGGAACAGTTTGGCGAATCCGAACTCGTGGATGTTATTTCGGGTACTCTGGAAGCGGACATGCAGGAGGAGTACATCCTGTTCGAGCCGGCCATGGTCGTGGACCTTTCCGTCGATAGCAACGACTCGCTCAACAACGCGTTGGTCAACGACAACAATCAGGATCACGACCTGGTGCAGATACTAGAAATCGAGCATGCTGCTGGGCCAACGGACGAACCGGGGCTGAGCGACGAAGACTTGCTGCCAGCTCAGAACAGGAATAAAAAGGGCCTTAGGTTAGACATAATGCAAACGTTACAGGCGGGGAAGAGATTGGTAGCCGTCACGGATACCCCCGAGTCGCCGGATCAGGAGGAGCTGAATATCGATCCTTCCCCAGGACCTTTCATCGGCCACTCCCCGGATCAGGACCTCATGGTGTCCCCGGTAGAGGACTCCGAGGTGCTCATCATCGATTCGGGAACGAAATCGCCGGAAGATCAGCCGGTGAAGGAATCGGGCAAGGAAGAGGTCGAAAAGAACGACAACAATGCCGTAGCGGAAACGAGTAAGGAGAGCAAACGCCCGGATTCGCCGGATAAATCTAAAGTACAGACGGAACCGCAGGAGCCGAAGGAAGAGCACAGAGATAAGAAGACCTTGGCTGCGTTTACATATCCTGAGAAAGTGCCTCATAACCAAATGCCTCCTTCTAGCTGGCACCAGGCTAATATCGGAGTGCCCGGAGTCACCAGACCAGCCGTTTCGTATCCCACCATCTCTACTTGTGCGCCTGCTTCCATTCCTATTGTTAACCCTTCTACGGTATCCAGCACCATCGCGAAGACTCCTGCTGCGTTCTCCACTTCGAATGCAACGAAAGAGACGACGCCGAGCCCGGTCGTCGAGAATTCAAGGCAAACTTCGCTACCTTTGACCATGGCTAGCATTGTTGCGGACGCGAAAATCGCAGCAAAGCTCAGCCAAAAAGCGGTAGAGGTTATTGCTGTGAGTTCCGGGAAGCCGGCGAGTGTCCCGACGATGATGATGACGATGGTGACGACGACTGGAATGGTGGCTAACGTGGAGACCGTCACTTCGACGGCTCGTTGCATCGTATCCACGCAACCGTCAAGGTGTTTGGAGAACGTAGCAAAGGTGTCCGGAGATGCCGTTGATGGGTGCCCTGAAACTGTCCAGGTGACGCAAACGGAGACCGTGATCACCGCGATCGTCCCGGCGAAATTGGCAACTAACGTGCAACCGACTTCTGTTACCTTGTCTACTCCAAAAATGTCCTTGCTTGACGTAGGTAACGCGGATAAAAAGGCAACGGGAGTAGAGGCAGTCGTCAAGAAGGATAAGAAGGACATGGTAGGTGAAAATGATGTTAAGAGCGAAGAAAAGAAGGAAGAACAAGGGTCGCAGAAAGAGGTCTCCGTGGAATCGAAGAGCTTGATTCGTGATGCGACTCCGGCCCTAGATAGTGCAACGGAAGAAAAGAAGACTGACCAATTGAATACTACGGATGAGCTGGAGAGTATGTTGGAGGCGATCCATAATCCCGCTGAAAATGTTTCGAATGGGGAGAAGAAAGCGTCTTCTGAGGCAAAGACCGAGGTTACTACCCTGAAGAGGATGTCACCAGTCGAGGACGAATTGTCTTTGGTGAACATCTTGGAGAACGACACGGAGCCCGTTGCGACGAATGATGGCAAAAGCGAAGGTCGCGCTGGATGTGCAACCTCGTCTTCTGGTCAAGTGTCGGTAAAGACGAAGGAGTCAGAATCCGTTGCGACTTCTGTGGAACCTGAAGAGCCGAAGGCAGTGGTCAACGTCGTCAACGAGAAGCACGAGGACGTTGCACCAGGTCAGATCGAGACTAACGAAATGTTCCCTCAACAGGATGTCAACGATGAGAAGAATCTGATCCAGGAATCGTCCGACGATATCCTGGACATGCTCCAGAACATCATATCTTCGAAGCCTGAGATGGCGAACAGAGAAATCTTTCAAGAAGACCGGTCGAGAAAGTCCAGCTTGATATATCAATTGCCAACCCCACTGGACACTCTGCCGCTGAACATTCTGCAGGATTCGTTGATGGAACTGGAGCAGGGACATTTGGAGAACGACCATCAACCTCAAAACGAAGGACACGCAAGACCCAGGAAAACGAGTTCGTCACCCACGGAGCCGACCCTAACCACGACCACCGTAGCGACAACGACCTCGGTAACGACTACCATGGTGATGGCAACCACGAGGAGAAGTCCTCCAACCTCTCAACACATGACTCCAATCGCAGTCAGCACGGTAGCTCAGCTGCAGAAGAATGCAACAACCGTTCCCCACCTATCACCCTTATCAAAGCCCACGGAACTGACATCAAACGTAGTCAACGTTTCCCACCAATTGAGGACCCTGCTCTCCTCTCTGCAGACCAACCACGCCCAAAACTACACAACAGCCAATCAGACCATCCTGGAGAACACAATTTCATCGGTGATAACGACTCCGAAAACCTTGAACACGATAACCACAAGCAGCAGTACGAACCTTCCAAATTCGTCGACAAGCGGTTCGTCCTTCAAGTTGCAGATCTGCACGACCGCCTCGTCTGCAACGGTTAACAGTAAGAATAGTAGCAGCAATGAGGTGGAAACAAGCAACTATATTTCACAGTCGAAAGAGCCCACGACCAGCTCGACGGTGAGCGTGATCGCAGCACTGTGCAAATCCACGGCGTCGGACTTGTTCCCGAAATTGACTATGAGCGCGAGTTTGTCAGGTGACTCGAGCCTGCAGAGCTCGGTCATGATGGCCTCCAGACCAGTCAATTCCGGGATCTCTATCACGTCCAATGCCATGTTAAATGCCATGCTAGCTGGCACGAGCTCCGCGAAACCAAGCATGGCCGGACTCCGCGCCAGCACCGTCCTCACCCAGACCAGCAACTTGCTGAGTTCGGTTATGTCGTCCTCGGCGGTCCAGCGAACTCAGAGCTTGCAGGCCATGCTGCAGGTAACATCCAGCACCTCGACAGTGCCTTCTAGATCGGTCTCCAATTCAACATCCGGGGCGATGCAGTGCGTCAGGACGATCGTCCCGCCGATGGTTACCACCATCGGCAGCACGGTGAACGTTACCACCAGCATCCTGCAGTCTACTCTGTCGCAAGCCTCGTCGCATCTGCACTCTCAGCTGACCTCGGGTCAGCCTCCGTACAAGTCCACCGCCCTGCTGCCCATAGACAACAAGTTCAACAACCTGGAGAGCCTGGTACAGGGCTCGGCCTCGAAGAAGGACGTGACCGACGAGCTGGCTGCAAAGCTGCAATCCGTCGTGGACAAGGGCGCGCCAGGAAGGACGGACTTGGACCCTGGGAAAACGGTAGCCAGTGTCCACAGGATGGAGGAGAGTCAGAACGTGTTGCTGAAGCAACTTTTGCAGAACACAGCGTGCGCTACCACGTTATCGTCGGGTACCAGTCAGACCACCGGCTTGCCTTTGGTTCCTTCCCTGGAAGCTCAGCTGGCGAGGCCCGTTCCACCTGCGCCTTCGTTCCTGCTGCCACCTTTGGCTAACGAGACACCTTCCACTAAGGTAGCCGCCACCAAGCAGGTCTTCGCCAGGGAAACGTCGTTTGTCTCGCACTCTGTGACTTCACTGAAACTGCAGACCACCTCGACCAAGGAGGAGAGCCCAAAAACGGCGGTGTCCACGTCTTCGGTCGCTCTGCAACCTCAGCAACGGGCGGTAGAGACCTTCCCCAAACAGCAGACACCTATCCAACAGCAACCGAAGGTCACTTCCGTGATGACTCAGGGTAACCAGCACAGTTGCCACTCGTCGATGATGAAGCAAACCTCACCGATCGCTTCGACGGTGACCACGTCCGAAGGACAGGGGCCTCATCAGGATGTTTCGGTCTCCCAGACTCAGACCAAGAGCGTCAGCGATGTCATCAACACCGTTTCTACTCAGGCTAGGGTGTCGACGCCGGTAACGATGTCTAGGCTCATCACCCAGGTGAAACCTACCGTTGCAGGTGCAGGTCCTAAAATCGTGCAGGGTCCTGGGCCTGCTACCAATAGTCATGGCAAGGTCGTGCAGACTTCGCAGCCATCTGTAACCACGACTGCTAACCAAGGTCAGCCGCAGACTCCGCCTTTGACCGTGGTCCAGCAAAAGCCTCTTGTCGCTCAACAGCCCCAGCAACAGTCGCAAACGCAACCGCAGTCGCAGCTGCAGCAACAGCAACAACACCAACCGCAACAGCAGCATCAGCCTCAACATCAGCCGTCTCAGCAGAAGCAACAGCAACAACAAACGGCGCACGTTAACTCGATCCAACAACCGACAGTGCCTCAAACAATGACCCTGTCCCTGAGTCATCAGACTCAGTTGCCGCAGGGTGCAATCGCGCAACACACAGTGCCTTTAGTGGAAGTCAAAAAGGAAGTTCTCGACGAGGTCCTTGCCGGCGGTCCTTCTACTCAGATTAACGATACCAAAGACTTTCTTACTGCCAAAGAGGAGCTTATGGATGTTACCATTGATGAAAAAACTGGTGAGTCGGTGGTTGTTAGTTTTTCAAACATATTCTTGAAGAAATGGCGGATCTTTAGCCTCGAGCAATTCAAGGGGCCTAATATCAGAGATGAACGGGGAGATGTTTCACGCCATTGTTTGAAAGGGATGAACGGCTCCCTGGCGCCCTCTAGGCCCTTTACGCCTCTGTAAAAATTGGAACTACTTTCAAAGGGGAGAAATCTTCGTGATTGGTAAAACAGTCTCAATCATCTACGCACGACAACTTTATTTGATGTTTGTAGTCTTCTTTCCCAACCTATGTTGACCATGATGCTAAAAACGAAATGGCGATAACTTCATTCTATCGATACTGTGCTGTATTTGAAATCTGCAGACGCGTTTTTCTTTACCGATAGAGAGCATTTCGCCTCTTTGAAAGCAGTTCCACGGCGCTAGTAAGCCGTGCCTCCCTTTCGATAATGGCGTAAAATATCTCTGCTAATATTCACTGAGCTATTTACCAAAGAATTCAGAAGTCTTGTAGAAGCCCAGATCCTATGTTAGCGCTTGACGCTTTGAAAGTTGGCTAACAAACCAGGAGTCGGGGTAGAACAGAGATCGCATGTGTTAGCCAACGATATCTCACATACGGGAGGAAGAGAGATGTATATTGAAAGGCGAGTACTATGTGTAAGATAAAGAAAGAATGCAATTCGCTATATATCACCATAAGTCTATATAAGATTAGGAGTGATTGAGAGATGATTGCAGCGCCGCCATCCGTTGGCTAACGTATTATTTATCGAGCACCAAAGGTCCGTATCCTTCTGGGTTTCTGTTGAGACTTCTGAATTCTTTGTATCTGCTTACTATGAAAATGTAAGAAGGAATCTTTGTGACAAAGGGATTTCTACTTGCTACTATCAACGGAATAAGTCGTAGGGTTGATTAAGTGAAATTAATGGAGATTCGAAACGATGTTTAATTTTCTTGAACTTCAACAAGCTTTTGTCATTCGTTATCGCTGGGTCTTTGACATATATAAAATTTTGGATTGAAAAGTTGATTCGTCCCAAAGAGTTAAAGATTTTGGAAGAATTGACTGTTAATTAAATGCAAATTAATAAAAGAATAAGTGAAACTTCTATTTTTTTATGTGAGACTTTTCACGCCACGGTAGAATGTGTATATTGTTGTGATATGAAAGAAACTGGTTTCGTAAAGTGAAACACTGTTTTTTATGGTTAATCACTATTATTTTACAAACGTTATGTAACGGTTATATTATTATTACGTAACCGCATTTGGTGGATATACATGTTTCCTAATTGCAAGTTATTACGTTCGGTACATGAACAGAGGTGAATCCTTGCTCTTGTGAGACATCCTGTTGAATATTTTCACGAACCGTATAAGTAATACAAATCTTGTATGGTATATGTATGTTACGTTATACGTTACAAACATTATGTGACGGTTATATTATTATTAGGTGTACAACTTTGTTTCCGCCGCTTACCGCTAAAGCCGTCTCTAGGAAAATGGCGGAAGCAAAGTTGTTCACCTAATGTTATGTAACCACGTTTGGTGGGTATATATGTTTCCTAATTGCAAGTTATTACGTTCGGTACATGAACAGAGATGATCTTTGGTCTTGTGAGACATGCCGTTGAACGTTTTGATGAACCCTCAATTTCCATTTCAGATCTCAAGAAATTAAAGCGACGCCAGTACCAACAGAAGCGAAGACAAAGTCAGGGCAAAGACGCGGCGGCGGCGCCGCAAAAGAAGCGCTCCCGGAAGGTCTCCCGGTTGGACGAGGACTACGACACCTTCATCGACAACCTGATGACACAGCTTAGACAACTGCAGCCGATGGCGGTCCTGGAACCGCTGCTGGGAAGGAACTACGGCGTCTGTCCGATTTTCGGGTCCGGCGATATGTCGAAAATCGGTAATCAGAAGGACTACAACACCAGGATGGGCGATCTTACGGGCACTTACGGCGCCGCTACGCTTCCGGGAGTCGCCGATCATTACAACACGCAACCCTTTGGGGAATTGGAGCCTCTACCTCCGCAACAACCTGCCTCCACTCAGAGAGGGTTCTACGATCAAGAGTTTGCCCCCCTCAAATTCGACGACTGTAAGTGCCCCTCGGTTTCTGAATTAACGGAGAAAGTTTGTCGGAGGAAAAGGTGCACATACCGTAACTGAGGGCAGAATAATTTTATGTTTCGCGTATGTCGATACGGCGTGTCCTTTTTAACCCTTTGTAATCCCAATTGTCGTTTCGAGTTAAGAAACACCGGTGTACCGGGAAATTGGAAAATATTAAGGTGATACGAAAGAGTCAGCCTATATACGTCTGAGAAGTCAAAGTTTTGGTGAAATTATTCTCCGAATTGGGCGTACCGATTCGTTTCGAATTTTATCACGGGAATATGGAAGCCATGAAGTATGTCCTGAAACTCCTGACATTTTATTTTTTATACAAAATTAATTTATTTATCATGGACTAGAATCAACATGGCGTGGTCGGGCAGGTTTTCGATGTTTTACGCTTCTTGGAGGCTTAGGATAGAAAATGAAGAGTTTCAGGACCTAGCTCGAAGAATTAACAATACCGTAGAAATGGAATATTACAGCGTCATATGTGAAAATATGGAAAATACTTTCACCAACGATTGCAAGAGAATGCTGACTTGTCTCGGGGCTAACACGTGTCTTTAGAACAAAAATTTAGTTGCAGCTAAACGTCACAGATGGCGACGTTAGTCCTAAACGTCGTTAGAATAATGAATTCACGGGATTTCGACAGTTTTACGTCGATCTCTTCGTCATTACTTTACCGAAATTACATAATAAACGCTTAAGTTCGTATCATTCTCAACATAGTCTGCAAAAGACATGAACATAAATATAAATGTCAGTAACGGGACACGCCAGCCTATGTTACCACTTGAGTATTCAAAACGATGTTACCACCGAAAAGAGTACGTGATTTCAAAGTCACATGCCGTTATAGAGGGTTAATATGCCTTTTTTAAACTTGAATAATTTTGTTCATTTTATTAACCAACTTTGATGAAACTTTAAATATAACATACCGACGTCAGGTTTTTTTTTTTTGGTAAAGAAGTGCATCATTCTAACATCACTTTTCTTTTTTGCTTTCTACAGAAGGGTGAAGTCCATTTCGTTCGATGGGCAAGAAGTTGAAAACGCAAATTGATAAGTTTTAAACAAAGACTTGTTTTCATGCCGGAAGAAATATTTGACTTCATAATTCTCTTAAAAATAGTCCTAGCGGGATAATTTTCCTCGTTAAATCCTGATCATGATTAACTTATCGTTAAAAAATAACATAGCATCACGATGTAAAAATTATGTAATTTTTGTTTTCTTTTTTTAATTATGTATAATGTAACGACGTCGATCTGCCGCATTGAAAATTTCTTGAAAATTGGTCAAAGAAACGCATTCCAGTTTAAAAAAGTAATCTGAATTGGGACAATCTGTATAACTACGTAAACAGTATTGGTTGAAGAAGTTTGTAGAAAGTCGTGTCTAAACAATGTTTCGGTTTTCTTGTTTTTTAGCCGACGAGAAGAAGGAGAACTCGATGTTGATGAGTCGGGAGGTCGACACACCCGACACTATCGTCAGCTCTTCATCACCTGAATGCGTGATTCCGGAATTCGTCCACCGGTTCCCAGGATTGAGACTCATCGAAGAGGAGTCCGACGAGGAAGCGGACTGGTTGAAGAGGGTTTCCCCGGTTATTCCGCTTGTTTCTCCCATCCCAATTAGACTGAAGCCAGGCCACGTGAAGGATACCGGGAAGCAGGACAAAGAGAACGTTGGAGTGTCAAGGTAATCTTTTCTCAAAGGCATTACATATTTTTTAAACCTTGCTCCGTTTTAACAGAGGTTGAGGCCGTGCCAAATCATATTCTGAACTGGGATTCCCACCAGCTTAGGCTGACTCAAACGTTCCATCCTTGAAGACTAATCTCCGAAGACGTTTTCGTACCATTGGATAATATCGCATCTCTATGCATCTTTTTATTCCGATATAATTATTGTATACTCGTGTATTTTCGTAATACTTATCTTAGGATAATGTGGAAGATGATCGACGGTGATCAAATACTGTTTTTGCTGAAGTTGTGTCAACCGATTCGTCTGAAGTTTAACATGATGGTGGAAACGCTGACACAGTTTCTGACATTAAAGAAATTGGCCTCATATTTTGCCACTGTCCACTTATTAGAGACTTCGAACGTGATGAAGAACGCTGGGAATCATTTTCAAGAATCTAAAGTCAATATAATACTCGAAAAAAAGTATACATTAAGGTGGGGTGAAAGTGGTGTTAAAGAGGTTCTTCTGAAGTTGCATCAACTGATTCGTCTGAAGTTTAATACTATGGTGGAAGCGCTGAGACAGTTTCTGACATTCAAGAAATTGGCCTCATATTTTGCCATTGTCCACTTATTAGAGACTTCGAACTTGTGATTAAGAATCCTGGGAATTATTTTCAAGAATCTAAAGTCAAAATAATACTCGAAAAAAATATACATTAAGGTGGGGTGAAAGTTGTGTTAAAGAGGTTTTTCTGAAGTTGCATCAACTGATTCGTCTGAAGTTTAACACTATGGTGGAAGCGCTGAGACAGTTTCTGACATTCAAGAAATTGGCCTCATATATATCCGATTATATTTCACGGCGTCTTTTACATCACTTTTCGATTATTATATTGGTTCCTTTAAGGTGATATGAAACGGTCATTCTATACATATATATCAAAACGTGAAAACATTTATAAAGCTTTTCTCCAAACTGGATGCACCGAATTATCTGAAACTTTAACACGTGATTATGGAGGCTCCAAAGAAGAATGCGATGCTCGTGAAATTTCATTTTTCGGAAAAAAAAATGTCTCTGACTCCTGCGCGAGATAAATGGAAATTTTTGTTCGAAAAATGAAATTTTACGAGCATCGCGTTTCTCCTTAGGGCGTTCATACGCATGTACTGCAGTTTCAAATGATTCGGTGCACTCAGTTTGGAGAAAAATTGTATAAATATTTTGACTTTCTGGTATGTATACATGACACTTTCATATCGCCTTAAGAAACTCTGTAGAGTTTTGCGCCAAATATATGTATAAAGGCGCGAAGCTCTGACCTAGTCATTATTTGCGATTTTTCCTTGAGAGTTTGTCTGGCGCGTTAAACTTGACAGAGAATGTTGCTTTAATAATTAGAGGTCTCTTCCGGTAATTGTTCCAGACTGGGAAAGTCTTCACCCGTACCGCTGCGTGACAACGGAAACGTCACCGTGACGTTAACGTTGAACAGCCAAGCTGCAGATAACATCATGGGAGTGCTGAAGGATTTAGCCAACATATTAAATATAGCACCACCGACTGGTTATCAGATCGTAGAGCGCACTACCACGCCACCTAGTCAAAAGTTAGGACTTTATAGGACGAAAGGAAAAGACGGGAAGGAAGGAGGTATGTGTCAATATCGACTCGAAAAAATCGTAATTAAATGTATACGTTTTAAAATCGTAAGTGATAACTAGTGGTGCGACGAGTTGAGTATTTTACCTCGTTAAACTCGAGTTATTGGTACAAACGAATGCAAGTTACGTGTGTAAATTCGAGTGATCGTTATTAGATCTGTATTACTCTTCAACTCGTCATTAACTCGACTCGAGTTGGCAATGCTCGAGTAATTGAAATCGATGAAGTATTCGACTCGTCGCATCACTGGAAATAACGATGGCTGATTTGCAGCTCCGATAGACATTCAAAGTATACTGAATGGTGCGGCCAAATTCTGCCGGCATTGCGAGGTCGTGATATTGAACAGCCTGATAAGGAAGAAGGTGTCCGACTTGCCGTTCCTGAGCAAAGAGGAGGCAGAACCTGGCGATGAGTTATGCTTCTGTTCGGCGGCTTGTTACATGCAGTTTGCGCTGATTCACAGGACACCTACGAGTAACCAAGAAAAGGTTTGACTATTTTGTGGTCATTTCGTTCTTTCCCTCGGTACTTCTTGGGGTTACTTTTGGTACTTCTCATGTTTTTCTTTTCTGCGAATGATGGTCTAGTAACTTTTCGTGAACCTTTCAAGCAGGCAGCCATGATCGTGGACCACCTCTGCCAGAAAGCCGAAGCCAAGTTAGCGGAGGACGACGCGAAGAAGATGCAGGAGCAGAAGTTCTCGATAAAGGAGCCTGTAGAGCAAATCGATGACGAGAGCATGGACATCGATCGGGTGAACGGGAGCATCGAAAAGAAAATCAAGATCGAGAGAGAGGACGACGAAATTCAGGAGCGGGATCCCAAGGAGTCCTTGCTGGACGAGAAGCGACCGAAGAAGCACCCGGCCAGCGAGGAACCTTCTTGTGAAATGAACGAACCTCCTCCACCGGCTAAGGTGTGGCGAGGATTGAGGTATAAGAGCTGGTCCCTTGGGGTGATCCATCCTGCTACCAAGTACAAAAAGCCGACAGACCGAGAGGTCACTGAGGTAACGCTTCAAATTCGATTCTGCTTTCAGTCTAATGATATAAGTGTGGATACTATTTTGTAATGTTCCGGTGTTTTAAGGCGATGCGAAAGTGGCGTCAAAGAGGTCTCGTTTATGAAACTTTTTGGGTACACCGAATCGTTTCTTCTTTCAATGTGAATATGGGGGTCCTGACACCCATGAAATTTCAATTTTTTTTTATATTTGTGTATTGATATATTGTAATGGCTAAAACGATTCGGTTCACCTAGTTCGGAGGGAAGTTTCATGAACGATTGACTCCTCCGATGTTACTTTCACATCCCCTTAAGAACAAAGTAAATGGAGGGAAAATTGTGACGAATAGCTCGAGAGAGTAATGTCTCATTTACTGGAGTTTGCGGGATCCCGGCGTGGCAATGGAGGGTTGACATGCCAATTTACATGTACCACCATGACATAAGACGATTTACTTAAGGGGATGTGAAAGTGGCATCTGAGGAATCAATTGTTCATGAAACGTTCCTCCGAACTGAGCACACCGAATCGTTTCAAACTTTACAACGTGAACAGGGAGGCTATAAGAAAGGTCCTGACCCTCATGAAATTTCATGTTTTAAATAAAATTTGTTAAATGCAATAAACAACTTTCAAATAATTGAAATTTCATGGGTGTCAGGACCTTGCTTATGACCTCCATATTTACATTGAAAAGTTCGAAACCATTCGACACACCCAGTTCGAACAAAAGTTTCATAAACAAGATCTCTGACTCCACTTTCACATCACCTTAAGTAATTTTTGAGCTTTGCACAGTAATCTTGGGATAATTTGCCCTGAATAAACGAATATTACAATACGTCCATTCTTTCATAAATTATAGACTAGGGTTGGTCGAACCTGAGTAACGATACTTCATGTTTACCAAAAAATACGCGAAATCGAACGGCAGAATGGGAGCGTATTGAAAAAAGAAACATTTATTATCTTTCTTTTTTTTTCTTACAATTAATTGCTACTTATATTCATATTTATGTTAGTATTGGCATAATTTGCGTAAACGCTTCCGTTACTATTATTCAATTTCAATTTCTTGTCTAAGAAAATAATCAGACAGCAGATATCAGATATAGTGGTTGAAAACCTGGTACTGCATACTGCTCGCTCGTGCGGCGTTACCACTCGGCTATGCACTAGTTTCGAGGACAGCTAACTCCACTGTCTTATATTCTACGAATCACATTTCTTTGAACCCAAGAGGTAATTTACCCTTCGAATGTATCTGATGGTACCTGATCGTATTCTTTTATTAATTTTAATCGTTAAAGTCCTTTAAGTCCAACGAAAGTAGTACAAAGCTGGTTTTAAAACAAGATTATACATCATTTTATTAAAGGGTTGTTACAACCCTTAGAATTCGTTTTTCGAAAAAAACCAAAATATGCTTTTTTTATATTGTTCTAGTCCATAAATTAAGCAAGTTTCATTTGAATAGAGCAATTACTGCTCGCGTAAGGGGTAAAAGAAGTATTCAAAGGGGTGGCTCACCCCTTAAAACTGAATTTTTTCGAAAAATTCCTAATGCATGTTTCATAATTCTTCATTCCCTACATGTTGACGGTTGTTTCATGAAAATCGGTCGAGTGCTTCTATATGAAACAGTCAACTCACCCCCTTGCACGGACAACCCTGAAACCTGATTTCACCCCCTAAAAGTGTTTATCCGCCGATAAAAAAAAACACGGGTCCCTTAGATTTTAGTCCTCTATAACATATTTAAAAATGAACAAAATCGGAGGGGGACACCTCAGGTACCTTCCTTGTAAGAAGATAATCAGACAAAGTTGACATTAAAATTGCCGCTCATTGTCGTTGGTACTTTCATCTCAATTCTTTCCGAAGTGAAACATTGTCTTGCTCGGTAATTCAATAGGAATTTTATTAATCATTTTATATGTGACCTTTTTTTAGATGCTCTTCCGAATGGGCATTACGGTGATTCCTGCAAAAACCGATGACAGTCGGCGATGTATGTTTTGCCAAGGCCAAGGTGATGCAGCTGCCGATGGCCCGGCGAGACTTTTGAACTTCGACGTAGATAAATGGGTCCACTTGAATTGCGCCCTCTGGTCGAAAGACGTGTACGAGGCAGTCAACGGAGCTCTGATGAATCTGGATATCGCTCTTCAACACAGTCTGGTGTTGAATTGCATCGTTTGCGAGAAGCCAGGCGCTACCGTCGAGTGCTTTAAGATGCGATGCACCAACGTGTACCATCTCGGTTGCGCCGTAAAGGACGGTTGCGTATTTAACAAAGACAAGGTAATTGTCCAAAGATCACATTTTCTCTATTACCAAATTTCTATACCCTATGCTGGGTATTTCCAAAAATCTGCGTGCCAATTTAACCAACGGATACATTAAAGGTACCAAACGTGACCTTGAATATTTTCAAATTAGCGTAGTGTACAGCGGATGGCTCTAAAAAGTCTGAAAAAATTACGGGCTCTACAAAACGGAATGTACTTTCATTTTGCCGGGCATGGGTTCATGATAAGTTCTCTTAATTGAGAAATAAATGATTATCGAACTGATGTGCCGAATTTTGGCGTTTAGTATTCGGTGCCGTTCTCGTATGCGTTTAAATGTATTTGGCGCGAAACTCTACCGAGTTTCCTGGTCTGTTCGAAATCTAGAATACGTGTGGTCGGTGTGTTCATGAAGACATTTCGAAATGTCTTTCTCGATTTTACTCGGGATTTTAGGGTATATTTACTAATTTTCGATCATGTCCGTGTTTAATCAGAGGCAATTGTGTATGAAGGTACATATACGGGTGTACGAGAGTTACAAGACATGTACGTGAAAACTCGGATACTTTCATATACCGACTTCTTATCACGTACGCGTACACAATTCTATGTATTTTGAGAAAAGCGCGTTATACATTTGTACGAACATTTATATTGATTTCTGGGTCTACCCTTTTACTCATAATTTTCAATGCTATTTATAAATTCTCACACAGAGACGTTGTTCTTCGAATTGTACCGCACATACGTACAAAAAAGTACTTGGTACCAAAATAACAGTATTCGTACTTACTTGTATAGGTTTTGCATTTCAATGTCAACATTCCGTACCTGGAATTCACCTTTTTGTATGAATTGCAGAAACATTCAGAAAAGTACTCGTTAACGTAAAGTACATACCTAGTAAATACTCGTATCTGCTTGTACAGGTTTCCTCCAGATTCAACTATTTGCAAATCGAGGTTTATGAGTTTAGCATAAAGGCGAATACAATTTGTACGGGTTTGATTTTGGAGTACAAAACCTGTATCGGTATACCCGTAGTTACGAGACATACCTAGGTTTCTGACCGACTTTTCTGCATTTCAGAGCACATACTGCCCCCAGCACATCCAGAAGAACGACAAGGACAAGGAGTTGACGACGTTGTCGGTGTATCGCCGCGTGTACGTGAACCGCGACGAGAACCGCCAGGTGGCGGCGGTGATGCACCACTCGGAGCACAACCACCTTCTCCGAGTGGGAAGTCTGATCTTCCTGAGCGTGGGTCAGCTGTTGCCGCACCAATTGGCCAACTTCCACACGCCGAACTACATCTACCCGGTGGGCTACAAGATCGTGAGGTTCTACTGGAGCATGAGACGGCCTAACAAGCGCTGCCGATACGTGTGCTCGATCCACGACGTGTCTGGCCGGCCAGAATTTCGAGTCCTCGTCCAGGAACCCTCTCAGGAGGACGTCGAGCTGCGCGACGCCACCCCTCGGGCGGTCTGGACGCGAATTTTGGAGCCTCTGGCGGAGCTGAGAAGGTCGACGCACAGCGTCCAGCTGTTCCCTCGCTACGTAACCGGCGAGGACCTCTTCGGCCTCACCGAGCCCGCCGTCGTCCGCGTACTCGAGAGTCTGCCAGGCATCGAGACCCTTACCGATTACAGATTCAAATACGGACGAAATCCTCTGCTGGAGCTGCCTCTCGCCATTAATCCTACGGGTAGTGCGAGGACGGAAGCCAGGCTGAGGAACCAGTTGCCCTGGAAGAGGCCGCATACCCAGCGCACTGGTTCATCAGCTAGAGCCGCCTTCGTACCTACCGCGACGGTCGCCGGAGAGGCGGCCTGTCCTTACTCCAAGCAGTTCGTCCACTCCAAGAGCTCCCAATACAAAAAGATGAAACAGGAGTGGCGCAACAATGTCTATCTTGCCAGGTCCAAGATCCAGGGCCTGGGCCTGTATGCCGCCCGCGACCTGGACAAGCACACCATGGTCATCGAGTACATCGGAGAGATCATCAGAACCGAACTCGCCGAGACTAGGGAAAAGCAGTACGAGGCTAGGGTATGTTGTCTGTCTGGTGACTTTCTAGCTGACGGTAACGATCGACGTGCTGCTTACTTCCGATTGCCTGGACGTAAAGGCTCGTGTCCACGGGCAAGTATTAGGGTGGAGAATAAGTTCCCGTCGTTTTTAACGTAACGTAACGTAATTACAACGGCAGGAACTTATTCCTCAACCTGATAACTTACGATATTTCTTGCTAGAGCTAAATAATTCAGACGTTCCGTAGAAGCCCAGATCCTATGTTAGCGCTTGATGCTCTAAAAGTTGGCTAACAAACCAGAAGAGGGGTAAAAAAGAGATTGCATGTGTTACTCAACGGTATCTTACATAGGGGAGAAGAAAGACGTATATAGAAAGGCGAAGTACTGTGTGTAAGATAAAGACAAAATGCAATCCGCTATATATCGCCTTAAGAGAGACGGAGAGATGATTACAGCGCCATCCGGTGGCTAACATACTATTTATCGAGCATCAAACGTCCGTATCCTTCTGGGCTTTTATGGAGACTTCTGAATTTTTTGCTAGAGCGGCTTGAATTTGCGGATACACTACCAGTACATTTGTGCATGTTCACTTCCAAAATTACGTACACTAGGGCAAGAACTGTCTGAGAGGAGCTCTCAGAAGCTTTACTTGCACGTGGACACGAGACATTACGGTGTGACGGGATGATTTTTTTATGGAACTTCAGGTGATACGAAAGCAGGATCCAAGTCGACGTTTATAAAACTTACAAACTGGGTACCGAATTGTTTGACAATTTTCCACGTGAATGTGGAGGCCCTAAGGAAGGTCCTGACACTCGTGAAATTTCAGTTTGGTAGACAAATTTTAAGGTTTATAAACAAAATAAAAAAGAAATATGTAAATTCGTAGGTGTGGCGGGACCTCTCGAGTTTATGTGGGAAAATTTTTCATCTTTTGGTATACCATTAGGCGAAAAGCTTCATAAACGATCGACCCCTTCGAGGCCACTTACATATTGCGTTAGAGAATTAGGAACGTGTTTATTTTTCATTTTTCTAATGATAACATTAGAAGATATAAATCGTTTTCAAAAGTGATTACATGTTTACATGGGAAATCGTGCTAAATTTTCAAAAGGTATCACTTTTTCAGTTTTTGAATTTTACTTCCGTAGCGTAGGTCCACACTTTTGCTCCTTCAATTCGTCGTTTTTCATTCAGTAATTGCATAAACAACGATCACTGATTATGTGCGTTACGCGTTCGTTTCTATGGAGCTCCATATACTTTCGACAAAGACATATTTTCTAAGTCGAAACTACGTAGATCTAACGTCAAACTTTAAGCATAAAGATTTATCCATGCACTCCGAAGTACAGCGTCTCTTTTTTTTTATAGCAATGAGGTACAGCTTTATCTTCATATTGATATTAATATTAATCCCGGTTAAGAAACTCGGTAGAGTTTCGAGTCATATACATCTTGAGTTAGAAACGCCCTGCCGAGTATCTATACTCCAATAATGAATCCTTATCAATAGACGGTACCGATATCCGTTAATCTCGATCCAGGTTGAATATTATAATGGAAGTTCTAAAACTGAAAATCGGTAACCGTATATTAAAATCCCGTAGTCATATTTATGGGCAAATGAATCATAATTTGTCCACCTGTTTCACGCCTTAAATGAAATCGTGGAAACCACTGTACGTATGACTGTAGCAACTACGCAATGTCTGTTCTATCAACAATTATTATTTTCACGATGCAGTCCTTCGGTCTCGAAAAGCCTTACATTCGTGCAGACAACTATTGCATAACAACTTCAACATACACGCGTCAACAATACGTCTTTTTTAAACAACATACACATTTTCTTTCATCTACTTGAGCCTGGACAGTTATTTAGCAGTGTCTGCATGACGCTTGATATGCATTATTATTACGTCCTCTTGAAAAGAGAAATTACAAGTGATAGATGAAATTTATTATATAATTTTAATTGCGAGTCATCTCCCCGCGGACACGAATAGAACTATTTATTTTTTCCCTTCAAATTACGGTCTAATTTAACGTCTTCTGCAGTAAGGCTATTTGTTATTTGACAGTAACACGTGTTGTCTTTTGGTTTTCAGAATCGCGGTATTTATATGTTCCGCTTGGATGAGGAAAGGGTGGTGGATGCGACGTTATGCGGCGGCCTGGCTCGTTACATTAATCACTCATGCAATCCGAATTGCGTCGCCGAAATTGTCGAAGTTGAACGCGACCTTCGGATCATCATCTTTGCTAAGAGAAAAATCTCTCGAGGCGAAGAGGTGAGTAAGGAAAGCCTGACTGGGCAAAGTAAAGGCTAATTTACACGGTGTCAGTACCTCACATAAGTCACTAAAACCGAGTGTTACTCGTCTTGAGTAAACTGCCATTCCAGTACTGGAGTGCAGTACTCGCCCAAGTGCCAATGCAAGTCGAGGGAATAGAAAGCAACCCTATTTCTTGGCGCGAGTTGTAACCCGTGTTGTAACCACGTGCTGTAACCACGTGTTTCACTCTACTGTCTTGTATCCTAGACACGAGTATAATCACTGAAACCGAGTGTTACTCGTCTTGAGTAAACTGCCATTCCAGTACTGAAGTGGAGTATTCGCCCAAGTGCCAATGCTAGTCGAGGGAATAGAAAGTAACCCTATTTCTTGGCACGAGTTGTAACTACGTGCTGTAACCACGTGTTTCACTCTACTGTCTTGTATCCTAGACACGAGTAGAGTCACTAAAACCGAGTGTTACTCGTCTTGGGTAAACTGCCATTCCAGTACTGGTGTGCAGTACTCGCCCAAGTGCCAATGCTAGTCGAGGGAATAGAAACCAACCGTATTTCCTCGCGCGAGTTGTAACCCGTGTTGTAACCACGTGTTTCACTCTACTATCTTGTATCCCAGAGACGTGTAGACGCGGTTTCCGAGGCCGGCTTGCAAGTTCCAAGAGCAAATTAAAGCATTTTTGTGCAATATTGTGTTAAATTTTGGGTTGAAATGGCCCAAAGGTGGACAGGAGACCCTACGTTGACATTTGTTGAACTGTATTGAGGGGAAGAACGCCTTTGGAATTCGAAACTATAACAGGACAGGAATAGAGAATAGAAAATAGAGTAAAGCTCTTCACCCAACACGTTCAAATACTGTTTAATCTATTTGTTCGTCAAGTGTTTAAAATTGCGTCGCCCCTTAGACATTTGTGTGGCATAGCACATGACTTTCTGCTTACGACTATGCAAGTACTAGAAGGCTGGGTAAACGCTCCCATCTTGTAAAGCACTCAGTTTTAGTGACTCGTACGAGTTACTGGCACCGTGTAAATTCGCCTTAAAGTTGGTTACCCACGTAACGATAAATAGTAGCGATTTGTAATCCGTGTAGTTAAGGCGAAGTGAAACCCGTCGAGAAGTTTAATCAACGTAGGTACAAAAGGTTCTTTTGAGGTGAAGTTACGTCGAGAAATTTGATCGACATCGGTAAAAGAGATTCTTCTGAATACCTATGTTACTGACGTTCCTATTTATATCGACAGATTTTTCGAATTATATTGGGTATTGTACTAAATGGCATACTCCACATGTCGTTTCCGTACATTTAGAACACTCTGGTAATCGATAAACTCGCATTTGAACGGGATAAAGGCAAAAAAAGTATTGTATGCGCTTCTATGCTAAAACGATGGGAATACGAGGTCTTGGAGTGAAAATTTAATTGACCTGGAAATCACAGATGGCGCAGAGGGTCCCTCTGCAGTCAATTAGGGCCCCAGAAAGCATGAATCCAGAGGATTTCTGGAGTTTTACTTCGATTTCTTTATAATTATTGTACGAAAACGACAGGTGGAGTATACCATTTGGTACAATACCCAATATAATTCGACACAGCTGACAACAGAAAAATGAACGTCGGCAACGTAGGCATTTAGAAAAATCTTCGTTATCGACGTCGATCAAGTTCCTCGACGTGTTTCACTTCACCTTAAAAAAGTGTCTTATTCGAACCGATTGCTTTGGCGGAAGCTGTTTTCGGTTGGTGTACAGATTTATTGTTACGCGTGTACCTACTTTGAGGAAACCCTGATGAATTACGAAATATGCAATTGCGTGCAATTTGGTTTCAGCTCGCATATGACTACAAATTCGACATCGAGGACGACCAGCACAAGATAGCATGCGCGTGTGGCGCGCCTAACTGCCGCAAGTGGATGAACTAAAAAGCTTCATCCACCGTTGTTATTGTTGCTACGTTATTGGGTAGGTTTTACACGAAAGAAGAAAAGTATATATATATATATATATATATATGTATATATAAATATATACACATATATATACATAAATGATAGACATATTATTTAAATTGTAAAGTGCCATTGCTGTTCGACTAATCGATTTATAGTGAAGTTGGTGCTACGCCATCACGACATTCCTCCAAAGTTGTACAATATTAGATTTACTTTATTTTACCAGCCAGATGCGCGGACCGGTTGTATATTACCGTGAGACACACTTTAGGGATACGGTGAGACACGTGACACGGAAAGAAATTAGTAGAAATCGTATTCTATGTATACAAGAAATTTATATCTTTGTACGTTGAGCGGAGTCAACGTCGATTGACTATATTGTAATATAGAGCTTTTATTAATTATTGTGTATACATTGCACCGTAATCTGTAAATAAGTAGAAGTTCATGTTATTTTGAGCCACCCGGAAGTTTATGTAAAGTAACGGTATCTTATTTAGAATTATATACAACTATGACTATTTGAGTATATACTATTGGATATACAATAATAAATCGCTACGAGATCTTGAGATCCTCTGCGGAAACTTCCGTTGTCGGCATTCAGAATCTGTCCCGCGATAGATGTAAGTCTTGTTGTAATTCTACATCATGCCCGAACTCACCTCTTCGAGATTCTGAATACGACAGGGAACAATCTGCTGCGCTTTTTTACTTGCTTGGGAGCGATTCCTGATATTTTCTCATTCTCATTCTCATTCTCATTCTCATTCTCAAAACACAAAAACTCCAAAACCCTGTACCTCCTCCGAAAAAAATCGCAGCCACTAGCTCGAGAGATCAATTTAAACGGAACAACCTTCCCCATCAAGCTACCGTGGACGCAGTTCGCATCGCGACAAAAATTCACAAAGATCCTTTAACATGTTTTAACA